ATCCAGCCAGGCAAGCAAGCGGAGCACGGGGAGAATCTACCGAAGATGACTACCTACGTGCCGCCAGCGCCTTTCAACCCCGTGGTAGAGAAGTGGGGATCCTAAATGTCCCGCTTCGAGTGTTTCCTAGTGGCCAGCAACCTACAGGGGCTGCCCGAAGTACAGAAGAAAGCCCTGTTCCTGAGCCATTGTGGAGCCAAGGTGTTCGATGTGTCCAAGGCCCTATCGGAACCAAACTCGATCCACACCATCTCATGGCAGATGCTTCAGACACTGCTGAAGGACCACTATGCCCCAACACCATCGAAGTACGTCCAATGGTTCGACTTCCGGCAACAGCTGCAGCATGAGGGAGAATTGATCAGCGAGTACATCGCTGCCCTGCACAAGGCCGCAAACCAGTGCGAGTACAGAGACCTCGATGAGATGCTGCTAGAGCAACTAATCTGCGGAGTGAGAGATATTCGCTTGCAGAGGAGGTTGCTCGCAAAGACAAATCTCATGCTACACATCGCACTGGATGAGGTGAGGGCTCAAGAATCTTCATCCAAGGCAGCCGAGAGACTACAGGGGACGACACAGAGCAAAACGGCACAGAAGTCAGCCCCGGTTCACCAGGAAACCATGGGAACGGGGACCGAGGGAGAGTCAGACGAAGAGGTCTGCAGGACCGAACAGTACCGGCAGGACTGGCGAGGTCAGCGAGATGCCTGTGCGAGTTGTGGGTGACCCCATCCGCGCCAGACCTGCAAGTTCCGAGACACCATTTGCCGGCAATGCAAGCGGAAGGGGCACATCTCTAGAGTCTGCAGAGCCAAGCAGAACCCCCATTACAAGCCACGGAGCAACGCTAGCCAATCAGAGACGGTGCAGCGGACGAGAACCAATCCGAAGGGCGGCTACAGGAAAAGCGCGAAATCTGAGGATCTTGAGGCCTGCACCATTCGAATCGGCTGGACCTGTACATCCCCCGGGGAGAAGACCTACACAACAGTCGACATCGAGGGGCAGGAGTGCGTAATGGAGATCAACACCAGATCCCCCATCACCATCATGTCCTGGGACAAGCTAAAGAAGGCCGTCCCCAACATCCAGAGATGACAACTACGGCACCAGCGGCTGGGACTGCGCAATTATCAGGGGAACCGCATCCCCGTGGAAGGAATCGGCAAGTTCCAGGTGGAATACGGGGAATTCCAGGAGAAGCTTCCCCTCACCGTGGTCAGCGGAAAGCTCCCAAGCCTCCTGGGCATGGACTGGTTCAGAGCCCTGGGCATGGGATTCACCGGAGTCCGCAACATGCGAAGCACCCTGAAGGACAACCTGATGCAGGAGTTCCAGGACATGTTTGACGAACGGCTCGGCAAGTATGTGGGGACCCCTATTTCATTCAACCTCAACCCCAACATTGCCCCCATCAGGCTGAAACCAAGGAGGGTACCCTTCGCCCTGAAGCCCAAGATCGACGTGGAATTGGACAAATTGATTAAGCAGAGGGTGTTAGTGCCAGTCAATTATGCTCGGTGGGAGACCCCAATTGTGACCCCCATTAAGCCGGACGGGTCTGTGCGCATCTGCGCAGACTACAAGTGTACGATCAACAAGGCCCTGCAGCAGAGCGCCTATCCGGTTCCGATCGTACATCACCTTCTGCATTCCCTAGGGCCAGGCAAGATCTTTGCTAAACTCGATCTTGTGCAGGCGTACCAGCAGCTGCCGGTAGATGGCACTACCGCAGAGGCACAAACTATAGTAAAGCATAGAGGTGCCTTCAAGTGTACCAGACTCCAATTCGGAGTCAGCATAGCTCCAGGACTATTCCAGAGCACCATGGAGCGACTGTTACAGAGGGTCCCCGGGGTGGTCCCATATTTCAATGATGTGCTCATCACCGCAGAAGACGAACAGCAGCTAGGGGAGAGGCTGAGACAAGTCCTAGGGAAGTTCAGGAGTGCAGGACTCAGGGTCAAACGCAACAAGTGCATGATCGCAGTCCCTTCCGTGGAGTTCTTGGGGTACCGGGTAGATGGAACCGGCATACACCCCACCTAAAGCAAGATTAGGGCAATCCAAGAGGTTCCCACCCCCAAAGATAAGGCGGAACTACAAGCGTTCCTGGGACTATTGAACTTTTACGCAATTTTTCTAAGGGACAAGGCAACAGTAGCGGAGCCCCTGCACAGACTGTTGGTGAAAAAGTCCAAATGGGTTTGGGGGAAGGCTGAAGCTACAGCGTTTGCTGCTGTAAAGAAACTCCTGTTGGCTGAGAGTTTCCTAATTCAATACAATTCTATGCTTCCCTTAGTGCTAGTCTGTGACGCGTCCCCTTTCAGTGTGGGGGCCATCCTGAGCCATAGACTACCGAACAGTCTAGAGGCACCCATCGCCTACTACTCCCGGACTCTTTCAAACGCCGAACGGAACTACAGTCAACTTGACAAAGAGGCCCTGGCAGCTGTCTCAGGAGTCAAGAAGTTCCATGAATACCTGTTCGGCAGAGACTTCGAACTCATCACAGACCATCGCCCCCTTCTGGGTCTCATCGCAGGGGACCAACCCACCCCGGCAGCCCTATCTCCCAGGATGACACGCTGGGCCATTTTCCTGGCAGCATACTCATATCGCCTGGTACATCGACCAGGGTGAGCATGGGCAACGCTGATGCCCTTAGCTGTTGCCCGTTACTGGACAGGATAGAGGACCCCACACCCGGAGTTCCAGTCCTGCTGATTGACGTCTTGGACTTGGGGCCCATCACTTCAGCAGAGGTAGCGAGAGCCTCAACTAGAGACTAGTGATTAGGAAAGTCACGAGTTGGGTCACAAGGGGGTGGCCGGAAAAGACTGAGGGCGGGGAATTCAAACATTTCGCTAACAAAAAGGGCGAGCTGACAATGCAAGGGGGTTGTCTTTTGTGGGGCAATCGGGTTATTGTTCCCTTGTGCTTAAGGGACTGTAAGAATGAAGGGATTATCTAGAAGTTATGTATGGTGGCCCCTAATGGATAAAGACATAACTGAGTGGGTGGGGAAGTGCCAACCCTGCCAAGAGGCTAGGCCAGACCCCCCCCCAGCACCGGTCAGGGAATGGGAACGGCCTCAGGGTCCCTGGTCCAGGATCCACATAGACTTCACTGGCCCATTCCATGGGCAGGTATTTATGGTCATAGTGGATGCCTTCTCAAAGTGATTGGAGATCAGACTCATGAAAACCACTATTACTGACGCTGTCATTAGGGAGCTAAGGCAGTTGTTCACCACCCATGGCCTACCGGACACCGTAGTCTCAGATAACGGGCCCCAGTTCACGGCCACGCAGTTTGAGGAGTACCTAGCAGAGTTGGGGATTAGACACGTCCTCTCTGCCCCGTTTCATCTGGCTAGTAATGGATTGACGGAGAGATTTGTGAGAATGGCTAAGGAAGCCATCTCACGCCTAGGCCCCGGGGACTGGCAGGAGAGGATAGATAAATTCTTAATGGCCCAACACGGCACACCATGCACCGCCACAGGAAGGAGCCAGGCAGAACTTCTGATGGGGAGGAAGCTCCGAGGAGTCCTAGACAGGCTACACCCCAATTATTCCCCTGACAGCTTCAGAGGGGCAGAAAAAAGGCTGAGGGAGTTCACAATAGGGATGCCAGTATTCGCTAGGAATTATGGGAACGGGCCCCTCTGGGAAACCGGGACAATCATGGAGGTAACAGGGCCCAAGTCGTATAGGGTAGACATGGGAAATGGAAGGATTTGGTGCTGACACATTGATCAACTACGGAAGCGTTGGGCCACCGACACAGAAGACGCATTCGACGAACCACTCCCTAGCTACTAAAAGGACTCTCGAACTAACTCAAACCCGAGTCTAGTGGAGGACTTAGCTGTCGGCCCCGAGATCCAGCGCCGCCCCATTGTGGAAGATCGACCAGCCACAAAACTCGCCGCCCACAACAAATTCTCGGAGGTTCCATTGGCGGAGCAGGGAGAAACAGAGAGTTCTTCTGACCTGCTTGACGCCACACCTCCGACTGAACTGCGCAGGTCAACTAGGGTGCAGACACACCCTGGTCACCTGAGAGACTTTGTATGCTAATGTCTACCCCAAGTGACTTCTGGAAGGGGAGGAGTGTTATGTATGTAGATTTGGGCGGGCAGTTTGAATTAACTGAACGTCAGCTGATTGGCTGACCACCACAGCTGCAAGGTATATAAAGGGAGCTGTTTCCCCTGGTCGGTTGCTGGGTTCTCACCCTACAATAAAGAGCTGTTGTCACTCACTGCCTGGCTTGCTGCGTCCTCATTCGCCCAACTTAACACCTACCTACATAGGTTTCTTAGAAGATGTTTCTGTCCTGGCTGGATAAAATCTATTTATTAGTCTCAGAGTTTCTGCTCTCTTCCTGGAGAGATCTGATAAAGAATAGAGGTGTCTGTGCCCCCAGCTTCATGACCGAGATCTCAAACGTCTTTCAGAGTGTGGAATGGATTAGAACCCTGAAGTGATACTCCATGGATCAAAGCAACATCTTTTGGAATGATTTCAGAGAAGGCTATTAGCTGCCTTGTTCAATAAAGTAGAAAGTGTCAAGTGCCGGGGAAATCAGGAGATTCCGGCAGTTCAAATGAATATAAAGGTTTATTACAAGTTTAATGTCAGGGTTCCAAGGAACACCCCCAACGAAATAAAACTCCTAACTGCCATTTAAGCTCTCACAAAAATCTGACCTACTAATAGTCAACGGAAATGAGCGGGAGATAAGAAAAGCATTCAAGGTGGGCTGGACTCAGATCTCTTGTGGGCACAGAGGGACTCATGACTGATGATGCATTTGACCCCCTCCCTTCGGCTTAGCCTGGTTGTCCCCTATAGAACGTTTCCATTGGACCATACCACAAGGTGTTACCCAACCACAGTTTAATACAATTAATAGACACTGCTGTTCTCTGTTGTTTTTCAGTCATCTCCCTTAATTGCCCACTTGTTTCATCAATTTTCTCCTCTTACCTCTTCTCTGATGCCAAGTTTCAGAACAGCTGTGGTGCTAAAGGATGGAGACCCTCGATCCTTCGCTTGGATGATCACTGACCAAATGCAATCTTTGTTCTTGGTGATGTTGTGAATGACGTCCAAGGATCGTATGTAAGATTTCAATTTAATTTCTCCAGAGCTTTGATCAATATCAAACACATCAGCCGGATCAGTCTGCATAATGGCGTAGTCTACAATGTTATTGGGTTCTTCTGCATCTTGATCTATTGCCTGTTATGGTGGGTTTTTTTTTCAGATTGGTGAAAAATCATCATTTAATAAATGTTCATCTATTTTACAGAAGGCAAGAAAAATTCACTAAATGACCATTTATTGAATCCCCAATATGGTGGATTTCACACCCATTTTCAGATTATACAGTAGAACATAGTATAACATAGAATATGCAGTGGAATCAAATTGGTTCCTGGAAGTAAGCTGAACTATTAGAATTTTGAAATCACATTTTCTTTTCAAAATGTAGCTACTGTATTCCTGCCAATTTTTTCTCTCACAAAATTGGACGGTGATGACAATGGTGAAGAATCATTATGGTTAAATGGAACCATTCCTTCATTATAAATTTGAGGAGATGGTGGAGGGAGGAACCCAAAGCTTTAAAAAAATAAATATTATGTGATTTATATTTCATGATAAACCAATCCCACCAAATAAGGCCCACCAGATATATCTCGAAATTCTAAGAGAAAAAGAGATATATAGACAGAGATAGAGATAGATAGATAGATAGATAGATAGACAGATAGATAGAAAGATAGATAGAAAGATAGATAGAAAGACACACAGAGAGAGATCTCAGCTATTTCTTTCTTCACTGTTGAGTTGCAGAACTTTCTCAATGCTCTGCTCTGTCCTTTACTCCTTTTTAGAAAGGATCTTTTTAAAATCTTTCTGCACTCCTTTTTACAAATGGCCTTTTGTTTTCTTTCCATCTGCATGCTTAGTATTTTCTGCTTTCATAAGTATTTTCCCATGTATTCACGTCTATACGAAAGTACGAACTATCCTTTTAAGTATTTTTAGGAACAAAGTGACGCTTGACCTGGGCTCTCACCGATATGACTCATTGAAAAGAATGACTTCCATTCTCAACCACCTAATTCTGTATCTTAAAAATTAATATTGCCCTTTGGAAATATGATAATATTTAGCTGAGCTGCGGAGCCCTTTGGGTTCATTTCCAAAAAAGTGCCTTTGAAAGTCACTTCATTTTTCCCCCTCCAGATCATGGAGAAACGGTGATCCTGGGAAAAAATGTAGCTGCAGAGAAGTGCTACGTCCATGTTGTTCTCCAAACCACCGGATTGTGGGGAGGAACCCAAAGCACCACACAGCCCCTGCCTACTATTTAGCTTTTAAGCTTATTATTATCGCGAACCATCACATCTCAGAAAGCAAAAATATTTTGACCCACCTCAACTTTTACTGGGGATCCAATAATCATGGTTTTTTCCTGAATGTTCTCACTGAACTCTGGAGAATGATCATTGACATCAAGGACAGTGATGAAGACTTCGGCCAAACTATGCTTTCCTTCTATATCTTCTGCCTTCACAAAAAAATGGTACTTAGAGTTGATTTCTGCATCTAGGACGGCCCATGGCTGAGTGTAGATAATCCCAGTAGATGGATGAATCAGAAAGCTGGGGAGGAAATGGGGCAGATTTATTCTGCTCAAATATACAGACAAAGGAGCATCCTATAGCTCAGAATCATACTGTCAACATTATTAGAGGTTAGAGATGATCTATTAACCGATTTAGTTTCATACCCCCTTAATCATTTTTCAGCATATTCAAAACAAATATGATTAAACATTTTTACAGAATCTCCTATTCTACAAAGTCTTCAGAACCACCACAATAAAGTTACTCTTTCAGATTTGAGACTCACTGAGGTTTTTTAGCAATTACAAAATCTATTTTTAAAACGGAAAAAGGCAGGATAGCCCAGTTGAAGAGCTGGGTTTACTGACTTGAGGAGAAAAATGTTGTGGTCTGCCAGCATCCTGTGGAGCTGGCAGCGGAGTCGGACAGCGAGGAGGCTGGGGAGGAACATGGCCCAGTCCTGGAGTCTGGGGAAGGCCCGGAAGAGGGCTCTGCGTCGGAGGCAGATATGGGGCCAGGGCCATGTGGGAGCGATGCGCAGACTCCGGAGCCTCCAGAGGCGGACAGCAGCAAGGCAGAGGAACAGGAGGAGCCTATTCCTAGTGCACACATGCGCAGAGCTGCCAGAAGGCACAAACAGTTAAAACAAAAGGAATGACTCGGGAGTAAGGCCTGGGAATGATTGGCCCCTCCCATAAGGCTTAAAAGAGGAGCAAAGGCACATGGGCACTTTGCAGGAAAGCAATGTTGTTAATTCTGTTCCCAGTCGGCATCTCTGTTTGATTCTGGACTCCGTGTGGCTTTGCCAAGTAGGTCTTTGGTAGAGTGTCAAGGGAGATAAAGGTTGGTGATTACCCCGAAGGACTTTTTGCAACTAACTGGGACTCAGCTGTGAAAGAATGTAATTCACAGCTGTTGCAATGAAAAAGGTTTTTGGGACTACTGGTGTGTTTTAATGACTCAGGAAGCCTAGGTCACAACAAAAAACTTCATAACATGGTGGAGTTGGGAGTTGGGAAGGACCACAGGGACAATCTAGTCCATAATCTACTCAAATTTGCTTATCAATTAGATAGTATGATCCTGGATTGAATAATTATTCCTATCCTATCCTATCCTATCCTATCCTATCCTATCCTATCCTATCCTATCCTATCCTATCCTATCCTATCCTTCTCTGTCTACTTATCTAATTGATCTTCTACAGTATATCTATGTAACTATATGTGTCTGCCTATCTATCTCTTTCTCTATCTGTCTGCCATCCATCCATCTATATCATCTATCTATCTATCTATCTATCTATCTATCTATCTATCTATCTATCTATCTATCTATCTATCATCTATCTATCTATGGGATAGTTGATGGGAAGCAACACTGTCACAGAAACATCATGTACAGCAAGTATTCACACAACGAACACATCTTGAGTTGAATGTTAAGGAGTTTTTTTTTCTTTCTTTCTTTCAATACTCCGAATGCAGACCTTCAGAACGGTAGCAAGAAATACCGAGAATTGCAGCACGAAGCATGCAGTTCATCAGATCTACAGATTACAGAATGAAAGGGTGAAGACTATTTCTTACTGATTGCTCTAGCGCTAGGATTGAACTAGCAGGTTTTGCACTTAATGTCTTTCAGACTCTCCTATGTATCTGCTCCACTCTGGAGATTGCAGTTCAGAAAAACTCCTTCAGCAGTTCACTCTTTCATTTCAAATAATAGATTTATAATAGACTTTCATATAGACATTTGATCTGAGCAGGAAAAGGGAACCAGGAACAGGTTGTTCCTTCTTTGTTCCTTGCCCAAATTAGAATAAGTTTGGAAAGAAATAGGAATGCAAATTATCCTGCTTGAATATGATGAGCAATTTTCTTTCCCTTTATTACTCCTCACATATGCATTGCTACATTTTCCCTTAAAATATTCTGTTTATATTAAAATTGTATATATTTATATGAGCGTATGCTTGCAAACAGGCGTACTGCAAACTTACAGATCTGCTCCTGTTCCGTAAATTGAGTATTTTAATTCACCCCAGAGGCCTGAATCTGGATCAATCGCCTGAGGAAGAAAATAAAATGATTATGACGGGAAGTTCATAAGATTCATATTATATAGTTCTGAAAATTGTTGCATACCTTGCTGCAGAACAGATCATATTAAAGATTCAATATTGGTTTACATGTAAGTGTAAGGTATTAAAATGGCTATTTTTTCAGGGATGAGCAATTTTGGGGTAGAAACTTTTCTTTCTGCTACTTCTCCAACCCAAATCGTCACTATAATCTACCCTCGGGGAAAGAGGAGGAGTCTGCTTTTATGTATCTGCTTCTTTTTGCAAATTTTTGGAAGCTTACCGTGCCTTCTAAAATACAGGAGGCACTGGATCTGACTAATGTCTATGCCCATTGACTTAGATGTGTTGATAAATATAACAAAGGAGGGCACTTTTGAAGAGAATGATGATGCCAAATAGCTACCCTACCAAGTAGGTTAGAACACAGAACACAGAATGATAGGGTAGGAAGGGAGCTCGGAGGTCTTCTAGTCCAACCCCCTGCTCAAGCAGGAGACTCTAGACCATTCCAGACAAATGGCTGCCCAGTCTTAAAAACCTCCAGTGATGCAGCACCTACAACTTCTGGAGGCAAGCTGGTCCACTGATTAATGGTTCTCACTGCAAGGAAATTTCTCTTTATTTCCAGGTTGGAACTCTCTTTAATAATCTTCCATCCATTATTTCTTGTCCTGCCTTCAAGAGAATAGGTGGACCTCTTGTTCTCCATGACAGCCCCTCAAATATTGGAAGACTGCCGTCATGTCATCCCTCGTCCTTCTCTTTGTTAGTCTAGACATGCCCAGTTCCTTCGATTGCTCATAATATGGTTTGGCCTCCAGACCCCTCATCATCTTTATTGCTCTGCTCAGCGTGCTTTCTAGGGTCTTAACATCTACAGTACTGTGCATCGTGTATTAATAGGTTGACTATTAAGGAAGGTGTAAGGCTTTGAAAGAATGACGTGTACTTACAGTTACAGCAACTACATTGGAACCCCCGGGAGAATTCTCTGGGATCTTGGCGATGTAGTAATCAGATGAAAATTGGGGGATGTTATCATTCGTGTCCAAGAGATGGATCACAATATCAGCCGTTGAACTAAATTTCTCAGGTGTGTTCACTTCTACTGCAAGAAGCTAAGAAGTAAAAATTTGCTCTTTTAAAACACATGAAAGGCTTTCCTTTCTAACAGATTAACATTGGTGTTCAAATGGTTATAGGGAAAAGCCATCATTCATTGTCATGCATTATATGTGGCTTTGGATCATTTTCCTCCCTAAATAAATGGACCTGTATAATGTTTTTGACTCATATTGGGATCTCATTTATCCAGTTGTAGGACTTGTGAGCAAAACAGGCCACATTTTAGGCCAGATTTATGCAGAAATATTGAAAATATCAAGCAGGTGTGCCAGCTTTTAAGCCCCATCGTGTATATGGTAAAAGAAACAGATAAAGTAATGTTTCCAAGAGTTGTTAAAAACTCTTGTAGCTTGTAGGTGCACATGTGTAGTAGCATGTAAAGATGCATCAAAAGTCACCAAATGTTTGGCCTGCTTCTATTTGGGGAGCCTGCCCTCTCAGCTGATCAAATCAATTCTTTTTAGAGAATGATCATAGCTCAGAGTTCTTTCCTCAGAGAAATCCAAATTAAATGTCCTTGCAATAGTCCTTCCCTAAGAATCTGGCCATGGAATTACCTCGGTATTCTCTGATGAAAACTTACACCATTTGAGAGATGTCCATATTTGGTGTGTAAAACTGAACATGTGGATCTGGTCAGTGAGCATTTCAGAATCTTTCAAGTGTTTAGTTTTTATTTTTCCTCTTCTCCAAAAGGTTTGAAATTCTGAACTCAAGGGAGTCCCTACAGTGCTTTCCCAAAAGGCAATTGCATTCGGTTTTGTCCTTGAAAATGTTTCACTTCTTATCCAAGGAACTGAAGAAGATTCTTAGAGGAGAAGCGAAATGTTTTCAAGGAAGAAAAGTTGTCCTTTGGAAAAGCCTCTTTGGGATGATCGTGACCTGGATGAGCTCAGAAGAGCATTCCCTCCTTTTAATTCAAGCTTGAATTGAAGAAAGTAGAAGTCATTACAATACCTTGAAGGTTAACTCCTGGAACTTTTCGTAATCGATAGCAGCAGAATTTTCCACTATTATTGTGACTTGGGCTTCATTTAGGACTGTCTGAGGGACAACGCGGAAAATTCCTCCGGGCCCAACAAGGTGGAGGTTAAATTTAGCATTTGCTCCCTGTGAAGAAAAGCCGTGAAAATAATTTAGTTTCTTTTTATGGTGGTGTGAAAGAGCATTGCTCTACTTCTCAAGCAGCGTGTGTCCATAAACAAGGTCTTCTCTCTTTATACGTCATTCCCATGCGCAATGGCCACCTCGCCCAAATTTCTTTCCATCAGGATTCCTGCATGATCCCAGGAAATCATGCAGCTATTTAAAAGGACACAGTGGGATCCTTGCTGTTCTCTGAGCTTGGTGGTTTTCTTGCAGACATTTCATTACCAAACTAGGTAACATCATCAGTGTTAGTAAGGAGTGGGTTTTGCAGAGTGAAAGAGGAGGAGGAGGAGGAGGAGAAGGGGAGGAGAAGAAGGGGAGGAGACGGAAGAAGAGGAAGAGGAGGAGAAAGAAAAAGAAAGAAAAAAAGGAAGGAAGGAAGGAAGGAAGGAAGGAAAGAAGGAAAGAAGGAAGGAAGGAAGGAAAAGAAAAAGACTACAGTGTCATTGGTGCTCTTTGAGCTTGGTGGTTTTCTTGCAGACATTTCATTACCAAACTAGGTAGCATCATCAGTGCTAAAGTAACCCAGTCAAGTGCTAAATAACCTTTCCACACTCTGAAGCACCTTCTCAACACTGAGCCCAAAGCACTGTATCACCTTGTTTTATAGGGTGCAGGACAGTGGTGAAATGTACAATTTGTTACTACCTTTTCTGTGGGCGTGGCTTGGGGGGGGGGTAACGTGACTGGGTGGGCATGTCCAACTTTTTTTTTTAACTTTTAAAACCATTTTTTCTACAACCTCTTCAGCTGAAGAAGTTGTAAAAAAATGCTTTTAAAAGCCTCTGATGATCCTAGCTGAGTTGCCTGATTGTCAGAGGCTTTTTTTTCTTTTAAAAACATTTTTTCTACAACCTTTTAGAGGTTGTTAAAAAATGCTTTTAAAAGCCTCTGACGATCAGGCAACTCAGCTAGGATCGTCAGAGGCTTTTAAAAGCATTTTTTCTAAAATGCTTTTAAAAAATGCTTTTAAAAATAATTTTAAAAAAGCCTCTGATGATTGCGTGGCTCAGCTGGGCATGGGGGGGGGAGCAGGGATTTTTGCTACCAGTTCTCCAAACCACCCACCGCCATTGCTACCAGATCGGGTGATCCAGTCCGAACCGGGAGCATTTCACCCCGGTGCAGGATGAGACTATCCTTGGCAAATCAACAAATAAACTAATCAGGACAAAATGCACCAAGAATAATGATGTTTTGCAGCCTCCGCTTCAGGATACATTTCTATTTTCATTGGGCTGCTTTTTGTCACAGGAGCACCAACTGCTTATTTTATTAAATGTATTTATTTATTTATCCAATTTACCAGCCACTTCTTACCTCAGGGTGACTCTGAGCGCCTTACAATAAGTTGTGAGATTCCATCCCAAAAGTTATTATTTTTCACTTCAGGAGGGACACTAAGTTTTCTATTATTTAGTAATCACATTTCTCTAGCTGTCCATCTCACGAGGATCACTGAGTGGCATGCAGTGAAATAATGGAGAATATAGATAGCCAGTTGGTGTAGTGGTTAAAGCAGAGATCTTCAAACTTGGGAGCTTTAAGACTTGTGGATTTCAACTCCCAGAATTCTCCAGCCAGCTGTCTGGAGAATTCTGGGAGTTGAAATCCACAAGTCTTAAAGCTGCAGTTTGAAGACCTCTGGGTTAAAGTATTGGGCTAGAAACTGTGAATTCCAATCCTCCTTTAGACATAGAAGATGGCTGGGGGATGTTGGGCCTGTCCCTCGCTCTCAGCCCATCACAGGGTTGTTATGTGAGAAAAATTAGGAGACATAAGTTGAATTATTTTGAGTGGCCCAAAATAAAGAGAGAATGCCGTGTTTTCCTGAAAATACAACATATCCTGAAAATAAGGCCAAGCCTGATTTTTGGGGTGGGCGTAAATATATGCCCTCCACCGAAAATAAGCCCTAGTGAAAGGGTGGCCGTGGCCAGCACAGGAGGCAGCCCTTCCCTTCTCCGGTCACCTCTGGGCTTCTCGGACCCTTAATCAGATCAGCTGAGCCGCTCAGTGCCACTCAGGCCGCCTCCTCCAGCAAACATGGTCGCTTTTGCAGCCAATGGCAGCTGCAAAAGAAGCCGGAGGCCAAGCGACGCACCCCACACGCCTCGCACCCTCCTTACCCAATGGTGACAGTCACAGCAGGCAACTCTGTCCACAGAACAGCTGCCTCCTGAGTGCTGCTCTGGCCGGCACCTCCAGCAAGCGTGGCCGCTTTTGCCATCGACTGCAGCTACTTCTGCAGCAAGAGGCCAAGCGATGCGCCCCACGTGCCGCGTGCCCCGACCGTACTAGGCCATGTGGGTCTGGACGAAATAAGGGTTAAAAAATTGTGGATAGCTGCTGCTACAGTACCCTTCCGAAGGCCAGCGCGAGGCTCCTGCTGCAGAAGCGGCTGAGCCCAAGGAGCGCTTTTGGGAGAGAAGGCAAAGGGGAAGCGATTGCTTGCAAACTCCCACCCCGCTCCCGCTTCTCCGCCGGGCGGCCTCTGGCAGCCCCAGACACCCAAAGCCCGCGCCCGCCTGGCTCCCTTTTCCACAATGCCCAGCTCTTTATCGAGGGGGGCGGCAGGTGGGGTGGGGGAGAAGTGAGGCGCGTGGAGGGAGACAGGGCTCGCTCCTCTTGCCGTCTCTTCCTCTCTTCTCTCCCCTACCCCTCGCTGGGCATGGCAGGGCTTTCTGCCCCTGCCCAAATTGGATGCAACTTGGGGGTGGCAGGTGGGGAGGGGTGGGGCCGGGGAGATGTGAGACGTGGGAAGCCCTGCCATGCCTGACGAGGGTGGGAGGGGGGAGAAGAGACGGGAAGAGAAGCCCCATCATGCCCTATGCACCTCACTTCTCCCCCGCCCCAACCGCCACCCCCCTCGACAAAGAGACGGCAGGGAAGGGGAGCGGCCAGGCTGCTGTGACGGTACCATTGGGGCGTGTGGAGCTGTCTTGCCTGCCTTCGTCAACAGCCCCGTCACATGCCTCGCTGTTGTCTGCAGGCAAACACGTTGTAGGGTAAAAAAAAAACTCGCGAGTTTGAGAAGTTTGATTGAACTCGTGAGAAGTTTTTTTTAACCCTACAATGCGTTTGCCTGCAGACAATGATGAGACATGCCACGGCACTGCAAGGCAGGTAAGACACACGTCTCGTGTCTCCCCGGCCCCCGGCGAGGGGGGGGGGAGAAGAGACAGAGCAGGGCAGGAGTTTGCAGGTGAAGGGGATGGACGGATGGAAGGACGGACGGATGGGTGGGAGACGGGCAAATGCCAAGAACGCCGGGGAGATTCCCACCTTTGGTTGCCCCAGTGAACAACTGAGGAGCGAGCCATGAGGTGGGCACGCTTGCCGCCTCCTGCACCCCCAAAATAATAAGTCAACCCCCCGATAATAAGGCCCAGCCCTTATTTCAGGGTTCAAAAAAATATAAGACAGGGTCTTAGTTTTAGGGAAATGGTATAAAAAATAATACAGTCACATTGGCCCGTTTAATTATGAACTCCTTGTCCATAGACTAGATTTGATTTTCAATCATTGCAAACGTAGATTAAGTAAGCAAATCAGAAGTTTTCGTCCTGGGTTAGTTCAGGTTGACGCTACTCTCGGAGGTTTCCATGGCAACCCTTATCACTTTTTCTGGGGGGAAGCTGCCGAGCACTGGGAGGCCTTCAGTAAATTATTATGCAAATGAATCCCATCCCTCTGCTCAAAGGAAGCAGCGCTTACCCCAGCTGTGGTTATTTTTCAAAGTCACGATCTGGGATGGCTTACCTGCAGAAGGATTTGGACAAGGAAATGAAAGAAGGAACCAGGCAGCCTATACATTTCACCAAGCAATGGAGCAAATGAGTGATACTGTCATCCAGAGAGGTTAACCTCGACCCAAAGGAAGGCCATAAGGCTTCCTGGACACTATCAAGTCCAGTATTTGTTTTCAAAACCTACCTAGAAAGACAGAAAGCTATAGAAAGCTCAAATCTCCTCCCCATGACCCAATGTGCATGACAACATCCTGATGGAATAGGGAGTCAACCTCTTCTCCAAAGCCCCTGAAGCAATGGATGGAAACTAGTCAAGGAGAGAACTAATCTATACCTAAGGAGGAATTTCCTGACCATGAGAACAATTAACCAGTGGAACCACTGGCTTCCAGAGGTTGTGGGTACGCCATCACTGGAGGTTTTCATGGAGAGCCTGGACAGCCACTTGTCTGAAATGGTAGAGGGTCTCTTGCTGACTAGGTGGCTCAGTGGCTAAGACACTGAGCTTGTTGATCAGAAAGGTCGGACGTTTGGCAGTTCGAATCCCTAGTACAGGTCTCTTGCGTGAGCAGGGGGTTGGACTAGATGACCTCCAAGGTTCCTTCCAGCTCTGTTACTGTTACTGTTTTGCTCGAGCAGGGGTTGGATTAGAAGACCTCCAGGGTCCCTTCCACCTCAGCTATTCTGTTATTCCATCCTGTAGCCTGTGACATTGCCATGCAAACATGCAAGGGGTGGAGCTTGTACAGTGATGTCATCATGTGTATTTAGTAACCTGATTCTCATCCCATGGATGGTCATGTTTGGAAAGGAAACAATGGCCTTAAACAGTGGTTTATTTGTAGCGATATGTTTTTTTTCCAAGTTGGATTTTTTTCAACATGTCTACAATTGCTAAAATGGTTTTGATGATTTCAGATTCTGCATGCTTGATCGGCTGTTTGATTAACTGATTTTCTTGTGCTTTTGGACCCAGGTAGCATTTTAGGATTGTGTGAACCACAGCATTATGGTCACATGCTTATAAGAGATGGGATCCTTTGGCTTTGCTAACCAGGTTTTAGCATGTAGCATGTCGTGTGAACTCAGTCCTGATACCAGGAGGAGGAAGATAGAAGTTGGATGCCTACTGACCTGGTCCGAGTCATTGACGGTAATTTTGAGGCCCCTCAAGGTTTCACCTTCCAGTGGGTGCTCATAGAGGGTCAGCTCAAATTGGTTCTGTGGCCCACTTTCTCCATAGAAGGTCGGTGGGTGATTGTTAAGGTCTACCACCCTGATGATGACCGTGGTGGACGCATGAGCAGTCTCGTTGTCTTCTGAACCAATTTCAGAGGCCTACAGCAAACAGCAAAGAAAAAAGGATGAGGAATCTTGCCCTCTCCAACCCCCTTGTGGTCTCGTGTTGCCTTGTGGATGCTGTTCCTCCTGCAAGACTTCTGTGACTTAGCAATAGTAGAACTTCATTTGGGAAGCCAAGCAGGAAACAGTGTGAGGCAGGTGTTAGAATCCACAATGATGTTAAATGCATCATTTTTGCAATGGTGTCATAACATGTATAAGGTTGGCTAGGGAGACAGGTGGCCTATACATTAAGTAAATAAGTAAAGGTGCAGATGCCATGAAACCAGATAAATTTGGAAGAGAGCAGATTAATTACTCAACAAACACATGAAGATAGTTTTTTAAAAATAAATGTTCAAACAAGTAATACGATGAAATAGGTATTTAGTAAAACCTTTAGTATAATGAGATCTTTAACCCCCTTTCTTTTTTAAATAATTATTAATTTTTTAAGCCGGAAAGATAAAAGCTATAATAATTAAGAAAGGGAGGAGGGAGGGAGAGGGGGGGAGGTAGGGAAGAAGGAAGGAAGGAAGGAAGGAAGGAAGGAAGGAAGGAAGGAAGGAAGGAAGGAAGGAAGGAAGAGATAGAGAAAGAAGAGAGGGAGGGAAGGAAGGAAGGAAACAAGTCAAAAATGCAGGAAAACATAAATAAGAAATAACTTCCAGTTTTCTTCTATAACATTGTAAGTAGAAATTTAATTTGACTTCTTACACTATGGTTAGAAGATAACTTTCATTTTTTCCTGTCTACTGTATTTTCTAATAATCAAACCCATCATTACACACACAAAGGCTCTTTCATGTTCTTTCCTCTTCTTTTAATTCAAAATCATACATGCTGTTTAAGTTGAAAGTTGTTAAAGCTGCAAACTAGATATCTCATTACCTCAACATGTGCACCTGACTACCCATTCCCTTAGAACTGGGGTCTTGAAAATAGAGATTTTTTTTTGTCTTACTCTCATCATCTTTAACATGCTGTGTGATTTTTATTTTATTTTTTTTGCTCATGCTGCTTCCTAAAACCTAGCTGTAACACTTTCCTGACCTACTTTAAGATGCACATGAACAAATTTAGCTATTTATCCCATGATTTCTGGGGTTATGATTAAATAAGATCAGGGTTTTGTTGTGCCAATGATCTTTTTGGTAGATGCGGTACAGACTGATGTTCTTGATGCTTCAGTTCTCTGTGGAAAAGTGTGTGCTCTCTTTACAGATGTTGAAATATTGCACAGTATAAATCCTTCACAATCATGTCAAGACTAGAAGTTTATGGTGAGAAAGTAAGACAAAGTACCTGGACTTTCAGTTCATATACTTCTTTCTTCAGTTTAGTTGGGTTTTTAACAACAGAAATAGCTCCCGTTGCATTATTTATTTCAAATGAACCTTCACTTCCTGTGAAAAAATAGAGATATGCAAGGTTAGCCCTGTGGAAATTTTAGTTCTCTAGAAAGAAGAGTCACACAATCCTGTTGTCACACAATCCTGTTACAATCCTGTTGTCATGATGCAACTAGTTGGACCCAGCAGCTAATGACCTTGGATGGGGGTCATACCACAGAACAATGAAGTTACGTGGATTTCCCCAAAGGCCTTCCTCTTTGGATTTTGGAAGGGATCTCAGAAGTTATCTAATGTCTATGTCAAGGGAGAAGATCTGAAATCTGAAAGGTGAGCAGAATCCAGAATCCATCCTCATTCAGCTTATTGTGATGAAATGGACATGCCTTCCATTCCTCCTTCTTTCAAAAACATTTTTCTGAAATGTCAGAAAGACAATGTCTTTCTGAAAAAAGCAGAAGATAGGTGTATTTTTAAAATATACATTTTAAATTTCAGTAAGCCTGGAGAACAATAAGCAAAACTATCTCTAAAAACCCAATTTAGGATAGAGATAATGCTTTTTCTCAAATGGAATTGAGACAATGATCTCCAGAAGGGTTGGCATGCATATCTCTGGGATACTGGGAAGAAGATAAAAACTTACTTCCATAGACATAAAATAAGGGAGATCTTGATACAACTCTGGGGAGAGATGAGACAGAAGCATTATAGGAAAATTCCGAGATGGCTTTCCACCATGGAGGCTATAATATATCCAAATGTATTAGAAATGGGTAAAACGGTCAGATACAATGAATTATTAGATGGGGGAGGGAACCTTAAAACAAGGGAAGAATTGATGGAACAAGGTATTTCTATAGACTGGTGGCCATATAACCAAATTAAATCCAGATATAAAAAAGATAAGGAGGAATTTGGCATTGAAATGAGCATAAATGGATTCGACAAGATATGGATGGGTACGGACGACAAAATTCTAGCCAAATTATATAATTACTTATTGGAGTACGATATGGCAGAGGAAGTAGTTAAAGAACCGATGTTAGCATGGGCCAAAAATATAGGACAGAATATAAACCTGAACGAATGGGACTCAATATGGAATAATAACCTTAAAATGACAAAGGCGACGGCTTATAAGGAAAACCAATACAAGCTGTTTTATAGATGGCACATGGCCCCAGCTAGGATAGCGAAGATCTACCCCAATTCGAGCCCTAAATGTTGGAAATGTGACCATCAGCAGGGTACTTTTTATCATTGCTGGTGGACATGTAATCAGGCACAAAAATTCTGGAGGATGATATGGATGTGGATTAGAGAAATAATAAAAGAAAATTTTGATTTCGACCCAAAAGCTTTTCTCCTGGGAATTTTGAAAACTGAATATGCAAAAAAGAAAAAGTATTTAATTATACATATTCTGACAGCCGCTAGAATTTCCTTTGCCCAGTATTGGAAAGAAAAACAAATACCACCTCAAGAACACGTTATTGGAAAAATATTGGAGTGCGCCGAAATGAACAAATTGACTTCAGAAATTAATGACAGAGAAGATTCAGAATTTTATAGCGTGTGGGACATGTGGTACGAATGGATGGGGGAAAGAAATAAAGAAGGTAACAGAGATTAAATATTAACGAATTAACAAAATCTATATGAATAGTATTACATTTAGTCTTAGAGAGTTGAGCACTATTATCTTTAAGTGTATTGAAATTAAATCTAGCTTCAAGAAACAATATCAACAAAAGACAAGCAATAATGCATGTAGATGTATATATGTATATAATTGCACCAATGAACCGAAAATCTACCGATTGTATCACTATATGTTATAATAAAAATCAAATTAAAAAAAAAAAAAAGGAATTGAGACAATGAATAATAAACCCTGTTTCTTCCTCTCTCAGAGAGCTTCGGTTGGGTTAGGGGAAGAGATGGACCAGGCCCTAAATCAGCAGTAGGCAGTGGCTTTTGCTCGGAAGGGGAAGTCAAGACATTTTATTCTTCTTCTTCCCAGGGAAAGGGCCCAAAAACAGAATAACAGAGCTGGAAGGGACCTTGGAGGTCTTCTAATCCAACCCTTTGCTCAAACAGGAGGCCCTCCACCATTTTAGACAAACGGTTGTCCAATCTTTTCCTAAAAACCTGCAGTATTGGAGCACCCACAACTTCTTGAGGCAAATCGTTCCACTGGTTGATTGTTCAGAAATTTCCTCCTTAGTTCTAGGTTGCTTCTCACCTTGATAACTTTCCATCCATTGTTTCCTCTCCTGCCTTCGGGTGCTTTGGAGAATAGCTTGACTCGCTCTTCTTTGTGGCAACCCCTGAGATATTGGAACACTGTAGTCATGTCACCCCTAGTCCTTCTTTTCATTAAACTAGACATAGTTGTTTTTTACATTCTCACACAAGAATACCAAATTGGTAGTAGGGAGGTGATGTAGCATCAACTACAGGATTGGAAATGTGCCAGTGTGTTTGGAGGAGAATTGGGAGGTATGTTTTTGTGCCTAGCAGAGTCCCCAAAGAATCAGCAATGTGGTGGACAGAGACTGAATTAACTATTTTGGGAAAATAGGAGCAGTGATGAGACAAAATAAACTTGACTGATTCACACAGGAAGAGCTGTGCTTTTCCATCCCCCCACTGGTCCAGTTGGGGCTGGAGTTGGGGACGGGTTGTAGTATTGATGATGTTAAGCTCACTTGGATATGAAACACATTTTTCTAGTGTGTCATGCTTAAAGAGGTGAGACCAGTGGTGGGATTCAGCCAGTTCGCACCACTTCGGGAGAACCGGTTGTTAACCTGCTGAGCAGTTTGGTGAACTGGTTGTTGGAAGAAATCATTGAGGCAGAGAACCGGTTGTTAAATTATTTGAATCCCACCACTGGGTGAGACACTGCACAGATGGTTTTCAGGAACTGGGCCATTCAGTGGCAAGTTTTCGGAGGGCTGCAGGCCCTTGAAGTGTGGGAATTAGGCATATTCCTAGCATTGAAGATTGTCTAATTTTCGCTGAAGGATGAAAAATCACCAGTCACCTGCTCCTCCTGGACAAAAACAACCGAAGTCTAAAAAAACAGAATTTGTGGATAAAACTGTCTTGGATCTCTCTATAAGCCCACTCAAAGGATCCATGCCCTACCTCAGAATGCCAAAGTATCGGCTATATCCCAGGGGAGGGGCGGGGGTGTGTGTGGTGGTTCTTGCAAAGGAAGGTCTCGTTCCAAGTGAGGCCACTGTACCTCAGATAGCCGGATGTGAGTCCCTTCTGGTGAAGTGGGGACAAGGGAGGCAGATGGGCTTGCTGATCACGTACCTGGCTCCCTGCCACGTGTCGGCTGCCCTGCCCGAGCTCCTGAACGTGATTGCCGAAGTGGCGGTGGAGACCCCCAGGCTTATGGTCATGGGGGACTTCAACCTGCCATCTGTCGGCGAAGCGTCTGAGGCAGCCCGGGAGTTCATGGCTTCCATGACAGCCATGGACCTGACCCAATTAATTCATGGACCCACTCACATGGGAGGACACACTCTGGATTTGATTTTTGTCTCTGGGCAGTGGATGAATGATCTTGAGATAGAGGCGGTAGCGATTGAGCCCTTGTCATGGTCAGATCAATCCCTCCTTAGGCTTGACTTTCTAACCACCACACCCAGCCGCAGGGAGGTGGAACAGACCAGATGGTTCCGCCCCAGGTGCCTCATGGATCCTGATAGGTTCCAGATGGAGCTTGGGCCATTTCCTGAGGCTCTGACTCATGACTCGGCTGAAGAGCTGGTGGCCGCCTGGGATAGAGCGGCCGCTGACACTTTGGACCGAGTCGTGCCTTTGCGGCCTCTGACCTGTCACTGAGTTTACCTGGCTCCTTGGTTCTCCAAGGAGCTGAGGGAGATGAAGCGCCAGAAAAGACGCCTAGAGAGCAGTTGGAGATCTAGTCGCTCCAAATCCAACCGAACACGGGTGAGGTCTCATATTAAGACCTACCTCGTGGCGATAAAAGCAACAAAATCTAATTATTTTTCCGCTCTTATCGCATAGGCAGATAACCGCCCGGCTGCCCTGTTAAAGTGACCCGCTCCCTCCTCCATCTGGGAGTGCGGGAGGATCCCTTGCAGGGTCATGCTGAGGACTTTGTTCAGTATCTGCACGATAAAATCACTCAGATTCGGGAAGGCCTGGTCTCTGACTGGGTAGGTACAGACGGGATGATGGAGGCCGGTCTTGAGAATGTCATTTGGGAGGAGTTCAACCCTGTTGCTCCCGAGGACGTGGACAGGATACTGGGGTGGCTGAACGCGAACACATGTTTATTGGACCCGTGTCCCTCCTGGTTGGTGCTGGCCTCCCAGGAGGTTACGCGAGGCTGGCTCCAGGGGATTATCAACGCTTCCTTGGGTGAGGGTGTCTTGCCACCCGCCTTGAGAGTGTGGTGGCGCGATAGCTTCCTGGGTATCTGGATGAAGCTGTTTATCTGGATCCGCTCCAGTCCAGCTTCAGGCCTGGGCACAGCACAGAAACGGCATTGGTCGCGTTGGTGGATGATCTCTGGAGGGCTCGGGATAGGGGTTGTTCCTCTATCCTGGTCCTGTTAGACCTCTCAGCAGCTTTTGATACCATCGACCATGGTATCATGCTGCGCCGGTTGGAGGGGTTGGGAGTGGGGGGGGCACCATTCTGCAGTGGCTCTCCTCCTATCTCTCCGACCGGATGAAGTCAGTGTTGCCAGGGGGGCAGAGGTCGACCCCGAGGCACCTTCTTTGTGGGGTGCCGCAAGGGTCGGTCCTCTCGCCCCTTCTATTCAACATTTATGTGAAGCCGCTGGGCGAGATCATCCGTGGCTTTGGGGTAGAGTTCCATCAGTATGCTGACAATACTCAGCTGTACATCTCCACCCCAGGCCATCCCAACGATGCCCTTGAAGTGATGTCCCGGTGCTTGGAGGCCGTGCAGATCTGGATGGGGAGTAACAGGCTTCGACTCAACCCTTCCAAGACCGAGTGGCTGTGGCTTCTGGCATCCTGATATAGCCAGCTGGTGCCATCGCTGGCTATTGGGGGCGAGTCATTGGCCCCCACGGAGAGGGCTTGCAACTTGGGCGTCCTCCTGGATGCACGGCTGTCTTTAGAAGAGCATGTGACGGCTGTGGCCAGGGGGGATTTTCATCAGGTTCGCCTGATTCGCCAGTTGCATCCCTTTCTGGATCAGGACTCCTTACGCACAGTCACTCAGGCACTCTTCACTTCCTGCCTGGACTACTGCAATGCTCTCTACATGGGGCTCCCCTTGAGGAGCACCCGGAGGCTCCAACTGATGCAGAATGCGACCGCACGGGGGATTATGGGAGCAAGGGGATGCTTCCATGTGGCGCCTCTCCTGCGTGAGCTGCATTGGCTTCCAGTGGTCTTCCGGGTGCACTTCAAGGTGTTGGCCACCACCTTTAAAGTGCTCCATGGCATTGGGCCTGGGTATTTGTGGGACTGCCTTCTGCCGCCGATAGCCTCCCTCCGGCCAGTATGCTCCCACAGAGAGGGACTCCTCAGGATGCCGTCAGCCAGGCAGCCTCGGCTGGCGACCCCCAGGGGGAGGGCCTTCTCTGTGGCAGCACCTGCCCTCTGGAATGACTTGCCCCTGGAGATACGAAGGATACTAGATCTCCGGGCTTTTCACCGTGCCCTAAAAACCTTTCTTTTTCACCAAGCAGGGCTGGCGTAACCCCCCCTCCCTTTTTTTTGAGATGTTAGATTTTTAATTGTCTATGGGTTTTAGTCGGGATTTTAAATTTAGGCCAAGTTGTGTAATTCTTTTAACAAATTTTAAATTTTGTATTGGGATGTTCTTATTTTGGCTGTGCACTGCCCTGAGTCCAGCAGGAGAAGGGGGGTATACAAATTTAATAAAATAAATAAAATAAATAATAAATATATGAAGCATAAACTGATTAAAAAGAGAGAACATTTTTAATTAGCAGATGTATAATTATACCTCCCAGCCATGAGAACATCTCTCATAAAGATAAGTGAGAAGATTTAACTTTCACAAGTTTCGTTTCCCATGTGCATTTCTGGAGGGGGGGGGAAACACACACTCTGTCACACACTTTTTGCAACAACTTGAAATCAGCCTTATGTCAAGTATGAATGTCTTCTAATTGCCCCCCAAACCGAGCAACCTGTGAAGGGATATGAGTCAGAAAGTGAAACCCTCTGGCAAACAGCAGCTGCTTTTAGGAGCAAGTGGTTCCGTTTTTCCAGGCCGATGGCTGAGTTTGTGATTCAACAACAAGCCTAAAGCAACACGACACACCAACGCAGGGGATTTGGTGAATCATATGAGGTCAAATGTTGGGCAAGTGCAAATTGGCAATGTGTACATAAACATTTTCAGAATATTTTTCAGCAGTTGTCCTGGGAAATCATTCTGATAGGTATCGTCAAGGTTTTCTTTCCTCTGCCTAGCTCATTTATGTCTTCCCAGTTACACCAACCACTTACCATTCACAATGCTGTAATATATGTCATTAGGTTTTCCCCTGTCTCCGTCAATGGCAACCACAGTTATAACTTCCGATCCCTAGGGAGAAAAAGGGAGAAAAAAACTTTACATCAAGAGGCCTAATTTTCAGGATCTCCATCATCAGCCTGGTGCCTTACTGGCATCCCTCCATCAAAGGGGAAGGGAGGGGGGAGGCATTTGGGGAAATCCACACCTGTGTATCTACTGGTGGGAAATGGGGAGGGGGACCGACACGTGAAGAAGACCAGAGCTGTTTGTCCTGGTTACGCTGGGATCTTCAGGGCCTCTTGCCCTGGGTGTGAAATTCCAGCAGCCTAAACAACCCAGAGTTTCCCACAACATTGCAGTGATCCTGAATTGGGTGGACATAGACCAGACATTGCGGGGAAGGAGGGGGAATGATGGGTTTGGCTCTTTGTATCAGAGAGCAGGAACGTCAGATTCTGCCCTTCACTTTCCTGCAACCAACATCTTTGGTAAAAGTTCTTTTTCGCTTCCATCAACTGGAGTCAAGAGTTTGCTTTCCTAAATGATTGTTTGGGGGCAGCTCTGACACTAGTGAAGTAAAAAGAATGTGAAGTGTTACTCTGAAGAGATGAGATGGGATATCATAATGGTAGGGGAAACTTGCAAACATTTTTTGGAAGGAGACTAGACTAGACTAGACTAGACTAGACTAGACTAGACTAGACTAGACTAGACTAGACTAGACTAGACTAGACTAGACTAGACTGGACTAGAATTCTTTATTGGCCAAGTATGATTGGACGCACAAGGAATTTGTCTCTGGTGCATAAGCTCTCAGTGTACATACAAGCAACAAAGTAATAAGTCGTAGATCATAAATCACAAAATACAATTATAACCATAAGATACCATAAGTGAAAAATAAGAAGATGAGAAAGATGAAAAGATGACAAGGATAATAACAATACAGCCTCCTACATGGTTAAATATCCTTGAGCATAAGACAGTGCTGTGGGATTTAGGTGTTCAGCAGAATGATGGCACAGGGAAAAAGCTATCTTTGTGTCTAGTTGTTTTGGCATGCAATGCCCTATAGCAGTGTTCTGAGGGGAGCATTTGAAACAGATTATATCCAGAAAGATTATCTGTAGAAAATGTCTGTAGATATTTTCTCAGCCCTCTTTTTGACTTGTGCAGTATACAGGTCCTCAATGGAAGGCAGGTTGGTAGTAATTGTTTTTTCTGCAGTTCTAATTATCCTCTGAAGTCTCTGTCTGTCTTGTTGGGTTGCAGAACCAAACCAGACAGTTATAGAGGTGCAGATGACAGACTCAACAATTCCTTTGAAGAATTGTCTCATGAGATCCTTGGACAGTTTGTTTGTTTTGTTTTGTTTTTGTTTTTTATTGGATTTCTATACCGCCCTACTCCCGAAGGACTCAGGGCGGTGAACAGCCACAGAATAAAACACATAAATACAAAAATTTAAAATAGAATAAAAACGAATTAAATAAGACAAATTTAAAATACCCAATAATTTAAAAACAATTTGAAAGGGGAAAAGATTTAGGCCAGGCCAGCTTGATGAAATAAAAAAATCTTGAGCGCGCGACGGAAGGTGCACAGATACGGGATCCTCCGTATCTCCGGGGGGAGCTCGTTCCAGATCGTAGGTGCCCCCACAGAGAAGGCTCTCCCCCTAGGGGCCACCAGTCGACATTGTTTGGCCGATGGCACCCGGAGGAGCCCCTCTCTATGGGAGCGTATTGGCCGGTGGGAGGCTATTGGTGGTAGCAGGCGGTCCCGTAGATAACCAGGTCCTAAGCCATGGAGCGCTCTAAAGGTGATAACCAAAACCTTGAAGCACACCCGGAAGACCACCGGGAGCCAGTGCAGCTCGCGCAGGAGAGGTGTTACATGGGAGCGCCACGACGCTCCCATAACCACCCACGTGGCGGCACTCTGAGCCAGCTGGAGCCTCAGAGTGCTCCTCAAGGGGAGCCCCATGTAGAGTACGTTACAATAGTCCAGACAGGAGGTGACAAGGGCATGAGTGACTGTGCGTAGGGTTTGAGCTTTCTGAGTTGTATTGTGTTGAAGCCCAAAGGTCAATGTACTAATCTTTGGATTTCAAGATAACTATCAATATTTCTATACATGTCTAGGCTACTTTTAACTCAGTTATGATGTTCGCTTTCAATGTTCAGTCCAACATAGGATCATCAGATTCTACATGAGATGGAACCCCAGTTGATACATCTGAAGGTCCAGGATCATGTAGAAGTGTCTATGTGGACATAAAATGTCTCCTCTGCTTTGTCTTGAAGACCTAGCCATGAAATCCTGCAAATCTTAAGTTTCCTGAAATGCTTAGGCAACTGAATTACTTTTGTCTAAAAAACTATTTGTCTAAAAAGAAACGTGGATGGCTTCTGGTGTCTCCTTGCCTGATTATGTTTTAATACGGAAACTATCCAAATACTGGATTGGAAATTGGAGATGGTTTAGTCCTTCTGCCTAGGCTAGAGGTGAGTTTTATCTAAGGGCCACACAGTTGGGTGAACAGCATCCTTCAAGAAAGAACAGATCAATGCTGGAAAGGGTGTATTTTTGTAGGGGTTATTCTTTTCTAAATAATCAATCCTTGATTCTCATATGTTCAGCCTGCATCTGATTAATGGCTCTTCATTACACACATGATGATGACTTATCTGTTTCTGAAATATGTGGCAAGAAAACATGACTGTCTATCCTGCTTGTCCTGGAGGTATCAGCACCCCAGTATTCACATCTTATCAATAAATAATAAAAATATTTTTCCTCAGAGGTCATTGATGCTTAATTGCATTGTATTCTTCAGTGGTTTCCATTTCAAAGTCCTCTATTTCACTGTTAGGGTGTTTCCAGATCACTGGTTAATAGTTTTATTAAGTTAATTATTAACTTTCAACATTTTATTGCCAAAGATTACAAAGTGGAAGAAAACACCTCCAGTATTCCCAGAAATTTGCCATCTGATTGGCAAAACTATCGCAATATGTACAGTAAAATAGGGTGCCACAAAATAGAAATGACTATTTCTATTAAGATAAGAAAAAGTTGGAAGAGGAATCGGCTATAAATAAAAGTTGGGTGGCAAACTCCAGAGCCATTTCACACACTGGCCTGGACTCTTGGTTGATTTTAAATCCATTTGTAGTCTTGCAAATTAAAACAAGATTAACCAAAATCCCATAGGCAGCAATAAATTGGACTTGCATTTCTCCTGAGACTAAATCCTGCAGTTGAACTGGATTATTTGTTCTCTTTTCCAGTTTGGCAGATTGTAGTAGCATGGAGGAGTATGCTTGGAAGTCAAACTAAAATTACATTCTGGGCTCTTGCATGCTGTCCATGTATGTTGCATGTATGAGAGCATTGTGAATTCATTGCAGAACAAGGCAACTTTTTAAATACCATTTTTATCCTCTCCCTTCTGTTTCCATTGTCTATCTCAGAGTTTTTTCAAACTAGGTAAGTTTAAGACTTCAACTCCCAGAGTTCCCCAGCAGCATTAAAGCCTTAGTAAGACGACACTTGGAATATTGCATCCAGTTTTGGTCACCACATTATAAAAAAAAAAAAAGACGTTGAGGCTTTAGAAAGAGTGGAGAGATGAGCAACCAAGATGATTAAGGGCCTGGAGACTAAAACAGATGACGAACGGTTGCAAGAATTGGGTGTGGCTAGTCTAGAGAAAAGAAGGACTAGGGGCGACATGATAGCAATGTTCCAATATTTGAAGGACTGCCACAAAGAAGAGGGAGTCAACCTATTCTCCGAAGCACCAGAAGGCAAGACAAGAAACAATGGTCGGAAACGAACCAAGGAGAGAAGCAACCTGGAACTAAGGAGAAACTTCCTAACAGTGAGGACAATTAACAGGTGGAACAGCTTTCTTTCAGAAGTTGTGGCTGCTCCATCACTGGAGCCTTTTAAGAAGAGACTGGACAGCCACTTGGGTGAAACCATATAGGGTCTCCTGCTTGAGCAAGGGGATGGACTAGAAGACCTCCAAGGTCTCTTCCAACTCTGTTATTCTGTATTCTGTATGTTTGTCTATTTTTCATGCTTGTGACAACCATGGATTATATAATAGCTTCCTCAAGTCTCTCTTCAATGGTTCTTTCATATCAAGGTCATTTCTAAATTGCAATACAATGGCTCAATGGCTTTCAATCTCCGGTTCTAGCAGAATCTCCCTGTGCTCTTCTGTTGTTCCTAAAGATCTGCTGAAGCCGCAGCCTAAAAGAAGCAGTAGGAGAAAGGGACATCAGCAGGTAGTGCGCTGACGTTCTGCAAATACAGACCTCTTTACAGCTCAGCCATTTTGTTTTGCGTTCCCTTTCCAGAATCCAAACTGACAGGGGAGAATATTTATAGCTCAGGGTTGAACTGTGGGGTCCTTGTTGCTCTCTGAGTTTGGTGCTTTTTCTTGCAGACATTTCATTACCAAACTAGGTAACATTATCAGTGCTCAAAGGGAATGGGCTTTATTCTCTGTTTATGCACAAGTGGCTTGCCCTGTCAGTGTTGGTGGGAGTCTTGGCAGTTGTTGAATTAGGCTATTGTTTACGGTTAGCTTGTTTGTCTCAGTTGATAAATCTTTGTTTGCTCTACCCCACTTCCCTCTAGCATTGATGCTGTTTCTTAGTTGGGTAATGAAATGTCTGAAAACAACGAAGATCAGAGAGCATCAAGGACCCACAGTCCTCCTCCTCCTCCCTCCCTCCCTCCCTCCTCACAAACTCCCCTCCCTTCTAGCACTGATGATGTTACCTACTTTGGTAATGAAACATTACCAAAGTAGACCATCAAGCTCAAGACAAAGAAGACCATCAAGCTCAGAGATTATCAAGGACCCCTTGGAATCCATACTGTTTGGGTGGGGTAAACAGGATCCCCATAATACTCACCACCAGTGTGTCTTCATACACATACCCATAGTAGGGTGTGCCCACAAAAATTGGTGGCGTGTCTTGAATATCCTCAACATTGATTGTGATGGTAGTTGTGGCTGAAAACACCTTGTGTTTCCCACGGAGCTTTCCACCACCATCCTGGGAGACAAAAATAATTCCAAGATTGTTATAAACCACTGGATTAACCCAAAATTGATATAGGATCACTAAGTTATGCTCATACTAACAGCACCAACCATCCCTTTCTCTTTGCTTAGTCTCAAATGCTCCTTGGAAAAATCAGATCTTTAGTAGCTTCTTGAACATCAGCAGGGATCACACTAGTGTCCAGCTGGAAGACAGGAGCTCTTGCAGAAGATGTTGGCCACTGAGTCCCTTCCCCAAAAACTGAATATGACCATCTATGTTGCCATCAGAAACATACAGGTTTAAGGCAACTTTTCTCAAGCTAGTGTCCTTTGACTGACATGTCTAGATCAGGCAGTTCACAGAAGTTCAAGGATGAAAAAGATCAGAGATCACCAGTTATCATTAGAAATTGTACCATTTTCCATGATCTACACATCTGGTTTACTGTTACGAGTTCACCCCTTCGAGGAATATATCTTACCTTAGCCACTGCAGTCACGAAAAAAGTTCTTGCTTTTTCATAGTCAAGGTTGATCCCTGTTTTGATGCGAAGGACACCGCTGTGACGATCTATGGTAAATTTATTTGTATGGATATTCTGGAAGAAAGAAACATGGAAAAGAAAGAATGAAAGAATGAAAGAAAGAAAGAAAGGAAGGAAGGAAGGGAATGAAGAGGAAGGAAGGGAAAGAAAGAAAGAAGAAAGGAAGGAAAGACAGAAGGAAGGAGGGAAGGAGGGAAGGAGGGAAGGAAGGAAGGAAGGAAGGAAGAAAGAAAGAAAGAAAGAAAGAAAGAAAGAAAGAAAGAAAGAAAGAAAGAAAGAAAGAAGAAAGAAAGAAAGGCAACATTGCACTGGCTGTAATCAACTGGTTTTACATAGAAGGAGCCAGCGATGTCTCCTTTTTGAACTTGAGGGACTCAAGATAAGACTCTCTCAAGTTGAACTTGACTTTCAAGACATCATTAACACAGTCATTTTGGGCAGGCAAAGAGAAAGGATTTGGCAAGGCCCTTTAGGATGGAATGTTGACCATTTCTGCCCTGCCCATCTTCTATTTTGCAAAAAGGGACACGAATTCCAAAGATCAGGAAGCGGGACTTGTCCCACCATTCTTTCACTGCTCTCCACTATATCAGATGCAAGGCATGTTATTTTCTTCTGCAGGAGAGAGAAAATGAAATTTTGCACCGTGCCAATTGAGAGTTCAAGGACTCTTTGGAAACAGCATCGATTGGTGATATTTCAGAGAGAGCCTTCTATTTATGGAGCCAACTGAGTGCCCGAAAGGTGCTTTTTTCAAAAGGCAACTGGGCTTTCTTTGCTTTTCCTGGAAGACATTTTGCTTCTCATTCAAGAATAATGGTTGTTCTTTGGGATGACCGAGAAACTCCGTAGACACCAATTGACCAAATGCTTACCGGTTCTTTTTGTTGTCCCTTTCCTAATGCCAGTGGTGGGATTCGGGTGGGCGTGGCTAGCTGGTCATGTGAACGGGTGGGCGTGGCTATGTGCATAGGGACTACTCAGAGGGCTGAAAAAAGTCATTTCTGACTGGTCCTCATACTTATGACCATCCTCACATTTATGCCCATTGTAGCATTCTTAACAACTGTGTCACTCATTTCACAACTGCTTCTCTTCACCATGGTGACAAGATAGGGCAAAAAACGTAAAATGTGAGGACAGTCGTAAGTTCGAGGACTGGTCAAAAGTGCGAGGATCAGTCAAAAATAACTTTTTCAGCCCTCTGAGTAGTCCATATGCATAAAAGGATACAGCAATAGAGAGGGATGAAGGAAGGAGAAGAGAGATGGAAGAAGGAAGCAGAGAGAGGGAAGGAAGAGAAGGGAGGAAGGAAGGGAAGGGAAATTAGAGTAGGAGTGAGGGTAAGAGAGGGAGGAAGAGAGGAGGAGAAGGAGAAAGGAAGAGGAAGTAGGGAGGAGAAGAAGCGGGGGGGGAAGAAAGTAAGAAGGAAAGAAAAGAGAGAGGTGGTAGGTTTGAGGAGAAAGATTGCTGTACAGTAAAAAAGATGAAATGGAAGAAAGGCAACCCCAAACAAATATAAAGATATTAAGATATTGGCAATAAATAGTGGTGCGGAGGGGCGGGGTAAGGGGCGGGGCGAGCCAGCAATTTAACAAACGGTTCGGCCGAACCGCCTAGAACCCGCAGAATCCCACCACTGCCTAATGCTTGTGTGAATCCCCAACACCCTGGCCAGATTTTCTAAGATCTATAGTAGGAAGAAAGGATTGGTGACCTCGGATTCCTTCTTTGTCCATTTGTATTCACAGATTTCTGCCAATCATAATTTGGCTGTAAGAGTGAAAAGAAGGCTGTGTAGCCCTCGGCTATTCTTCAAGCACCCTGAGATTCAAAAGGGACCATTTTCAGTTGGGTGAATTTTCTTTTCTTTTCTTTCAAATATAATAGAAGAAACAGAAGAAGGTGGAAAATGCTTGCATATCTAATCCAACCCTAAATTCCTAATCCTTTCTTAAATGACAAGTTCACCCCAAAACTCCTTTCAACATTCATGGGTATTTATGAAGAACATTAGAGGGAGAACAATGGTTTAGATTCCTTGCCCATTTTCCACGTACAAGGACTTTTGGGTGACAGAGGACTGCAGGTTATTTTTATGTATTAAAACATGGATTTCCTAATTTTAGAATTTTCCCCTTTTATTCCTGTTCAGCTCATCAAAAACAAAGCAAGATTACAACACAACATAGCAATTCAGATTTTAAATTTAACTTACAATATGTCATTGTATGAGAGCTCATGAATTGGAATAGACATGGTAACAGGTGAGCCAGTGGGGACTGTTTGGTGACCCAGATGGCTTGGAGCCTGGGCGTGGCTTAGCTTGACTGATTTGTATAAAAGAGTTGCTTTGTCCTTGCAATATAGCCTCTGTATTATATAGCTTCTGTATTTCTGGCTTCTGGCTTCTGGTTATAGCTTCTGCTGCATGGGTATTGTATATAAGGATGTTTCTTATACAAATGAATACTGCTGAATTATTTACTTGTGTGTTGGTTGGATTGCTGCAAACTCTTAACACAATACAACCAGTAAGAAGGAGAGAAAATCACAGTCAGTGTTAAGCAAAACCAAAGAGCATTTTTCAAAAAGTTTCAAAGAAGCAGAGATCTCCTAAGGCGGTAGTAGAGACCTCAGGAAATAAATATGAATTTAAACATCAGGATTTGCTTGTGAGGTGGACTCAGAACCCCTGGAGATGCCTTTGAGAAAGAACGAATTGTCTTCCTCTCTGTCTTGGCCATGAACAAAATTTGGCTTGGCTTGCGTGCTGCTCCCATTAAGGAGATTACATTTAATCCTCCTTAAATCTGTGTGCTTTCAAAAGAAGCTACTCGATCAGTTGTCCTAGATCTACTCCGATGCTACAGTAATTGGTTTCTTGACATTTCCTAAGTCTTTAAATTATTCTGCCATGAGATTTTGTTTTTATCTTGTAAATTGTACTAGTTTATATAACAACCAACTTTATTTTATTTGGATTTTTCATTTTGGTAATGTATAAACTCAGCTTGGTGGTCCCTCATTCAAAAATAAATTCCCCCACCACTAAAACAGTAAATGTGAGCTGCTCCAGGGCTAAAAATAATAAAAATGCTTCCATGCTTTCATCCCCACATCAGGCAAAAAAAAAAAAAAAATCAGTTTTGCTCTTCTCTTTACCTTTTTATCTTCCTACCGAAGGAAGGAAGGAAGGAAGGAAGGAAGGAAGGAAGGAAGGAAGGAAGGACTGAATGATTTGTATGAGTGGAAACTGCAAAAGCTTTGCAATTACCTTTCCTTTTGAAAGACCTGAAGCCAGATACCTAGATTTGTAGTGATCCATTAGGGTCCACAAATGGGGGGAAAGGCCACCTCTAACTTCCATGCATCCACAATATATTCCTGTGTTTTCAGACACATTGCTCTTAAGTCAGAATCAGAGGAGCTCAGCTCCTGAACAGAAATCTCAATGTTAGGAGCTGAGTCCCTACTATCCTACTCTCTCTCTCTCGCTCGTGGCCCTTCCTCTCTAGGACAGCATCTCTCTGGTTTCCTCCCTGATAATGTTCTAATCATCTTTCAAAACCTGGCTGTTCTCCCAGGTCCCGGGGTAGAGTGTCATGAGCCCAGATTTGTTTCTGGGCATTTGTTTCTTTCAGAGGTGCACAACCCGTTTCTTTTTAATCTCTTTGTTCTTTACTTTTTAAAACCCGCAGGCCATCTGGAATGGTTGGTCCCCTTCTAAGCGGAATAAAAACCAAAGGGCCCAAAGACTCCATGTCTTAAATGCAGCTTTACCTGCAGGAAATAGTTGATGCTGCCTCCTGAGCCTGTGTCTCTGTCCACTGCTTCGATTTTGAAGATGCTGCTCCCAACCGGCGTGTTCTGAAAATCCAGAAAAGAGTTGAATTGGACTTGAAAGCAAGAATGACAATAACAAGAGTTGGGATGGAAGAATATAGTGACCGAGGGTGGAGGGGTCAGAGAAAAAGTAGACGAGAGGAAACGACTAATAAAGGAGAAGACCACACTACCTACAGGAAGAGTGCACTGGAGAAGGAGACAATGAGAGGGTCCTACTGAGATGAAACCAACCAACAAATACAAGGAATGTAACGTCTTCTACATCCCCGCTGCCTTCACAGTGATGAAAGGAGGAAATAGGAAAGCAACTTGTCAGTTGTAGATTTCCCAGGAAAAATCACACATGATAATGATGTAACATTTGACAGAAATGACCTGTAGAACTGGACCATCTCAAATACATGTATCTATTGGTTAATACAAACCCAATCACACAACTCCCCCTCCCCTCCCCCTATCCCTTTCTCTATCCCCTCCCCCCCTTTTATATATAATTCAAGGTAGTGGACATACCTGCTTCCTAATAACCACGTGAGGTGGGTTGGGCTGAGAGAGAGAGAGAGAGAGAGAGAGAGAGAGAGAGAGAGAGAGAGAGAGAGAGAGAGAGAGAGAAACTGCTCCAATGTCACCCAGCTGGCTTCCATGGCTATGACAAGACTAGAACTCATAATCTCCTGGTTTCTAGATCAGCACTTTACCACTAACCAAACTGGCTATCAAATTGGTGTAATAGCTTTGTCCCTCATGAAGCTTCATCATTCCAGCTACCCAAGAGTCCAAACGAAATCCACCAACCTCTTGGACTTGAATGATGTAAGGCGTGTTGATGAATTCTGGTCTTTCGTCATTTGCATCTGTTATAACAATTCTGACCTTCTCAGCCACCTAAAGTTGAACATGTGAACAGTTCAGCCAGGCAGTGTGACTGACACACAGTCCTGTGCATACTTGCTTGCTTATTGCGTCCTAGTCTACTGGTAATGGATGAAAGAAATACCGTGGTAACAAAAGACTACCGTATAAAGATGGAAAAATACACCCTGGAGATTTAAGCGATCGGGATAGTAACAGCAGTGAGTCTTCCGAAGGTCTTACTGGTTACATTCAAGGAAGTGCATTATGTTCAGAGCAAATGAGAAAAATTCAAATTAATGGCTTTTTTTAAAAAAATCTGAACATTTGCTTTTAAAGGAGAGAATAGCTCAATAGCAAACGCCTCAGAGGAGTTTCAGATCGGGCAGCAAAGTCTGAAAGATTTCTGAGATTTTAGAGAATTCAATACCTCAGTGTGAGAGACCTTCCGATTTCCCCCAATATGTGAAACCATAGAGTTGTATTGATCATGCTGAGCTATAGCTGGTTTTAACTAGACTATTGACAAAGGCATCAGAGCATAGGTCACACCCAATACTAAGCTACAAATCACAACTTGATAATGGCAATGGCCGACTTCACACCTCATAGCGAAGCCAAAATTAAACCAACCACATGACACCTTGGTACCTTGTGCGACCTTTATTTGAACAAGAATGTAAGGACACAGCCCAGTTAGAACTGGGTTTCCAGATGAAGTCAGAAAGTACGGATAAGGATTCAGGAAAACTCCAGGTTCCCCATCCATGATCCACACACTCCGATATGCAAATATGCAAAAAATAAATTTAGATTCTTAATAGTTTTGAAGACCAAATAAATGAGTGAATTAAAGAGCCTGATGTAGGATGGACAGGGAAGAACATAAGATTGAAGTCAAGGAAATGAATTTTCAGGATAGCCTCATGTTCACCCAAAGAGATACACATCAATGAATTCAAAGAATTTTGCAGCATGTGGAGATATTGCCTGAACCATGTTACTCTCTGATGATCTTCTTTCATTCCTTGAGTAAAACAGCTTCTTGTCACAAAGATCTCCCAATGTGAATATTCGGCTTCTGTCTGGTAATCAGAAGCTGGACTGAATTTATAACTATGGAATCGGCTTTTAAGAGATTTATTCTGGCAATGATCCAGGTAACAACACAATGATTCATTGTCACCCAGATTTGAAAATAGATATGGGATGATTCAATTTGCAGTTTCAGAACTGCAGCCCATGCAGTGATGGGTGACCCAGTTAAGATGGAGCGAGAAAGGCTGGGCCCAGATTCAGACCTTAGTCATCTTAGAACAGGACTTAAGGTCAATCAATCAGAGTAGAGCTGGAAGGGACCTTAGAGGTCTTCTAGTCCAACCCCCTGCTCAAGCAGGAATACCATTCTGGACAAATGGCTGTCCAGTCTCTTCTTAAAAACCTTCAGTGTAGAAGCACCCACAACTTCTGAAGGCAAGCTGTTCTACTCATTAATTGTCCTCACTGTTAGGAAATTCCTCCTCAGTTCCAGGTTGCTTCTCTCCTTAATTAGTTCCCATCCATTGCTTCTTCTCCTGCCTTCTGGTGCTTTGGAATTTTAGTTGAGCCCCTTTGTGGCAGCCCCTCAAATACTGGAATACCTGCTATCCTGTCCCCACTAGCCGTACCCAATTCATGCAACCGTTCTTCATATGTTTTAGTCTCCAGGCCTTTAATTGTCTTGGTTGCTCAGTTGCTTAGGTGTGAAGCAGTGGTGGGTTGCTACCGGTTCGACCTGGATCGGGCAAACAGGTAGTGGTGGCGGCGGGAGACTCCGCCCACCTGCCCGGATGCTTCTGCACATGTGCAGAAGCCTTGCGCGCATGCGCAAACGCCTGCCCGCCCATGAGCGAACCAGTAGCGACGGGTTTTGAAACCCGCTCCTGGTGTGAAGCACACTTTGTCGCTATGAAATGAAACATCTGTAATTATTGAAAGCCCGTTTCCATTGATATACTCACTGTGCTTAAGCCATCGGAAATATTAACGACCACTTCGATCTCATCTTGGGTCTGAGGATGTAAAGAAGGGTGTATTTTAGCAATTGTTCATAACATAGAAACACCTGATTTTCTCTTTGCTTTGGATTTAATAAAAAATAGGCAACGCAATCCCACAACATGAATGCTACAGTGCAAATTCACAACAGGAGTGTCTGAGTGTCTGCCCAGAACCAAGTCCTGTAAATTCAATAGGGCTTACCTCTGGGCAAATATCTCCGTACGGGTAGTCCTCGACTTACGACCACAATTGAAATTTCTGTTGTTAAGTGAGACATTTGTTAAGTGAGTTTTGCACCATTTTGTAACCTTTCTTGCCCCAGCCAATAAGGGAATCATTGCAGTTGTTAAGTGAAGATAACAGGGCTAAGTAAATCTGGTTTCCCCTTTAACTTTGCTTGTCAGAAGATCGTAAAAGGTGATCATATGATCCCGGGACATTGCAACTGTCATAAATATGAGTCAGTCGCCCAACATCTGAATTCTGATCACATGGCCACGAGGGTTCTGCAAGGGTTGTAACAGTGGTGGGTTGCTACCAGTTTGCCCCGGACTGGGTGAACCCCAATGGCCCGGATGCTTCTGGGCATGTGCAGAAGTGTTGCACGCGCGCGTGAGCGTGCACCCACAAGCGAACCAGTAGCAATGGGTGTTGAAACCCGTCACTAACCAAAGTGACTGTTGGAAGTTACAGCAGCACTAATAAAAAGTGACAGGACAGAAGTCAAGGACTACCTGTATTTATTTACCTGAGAGTAAGCTTTAGTGATCGTGAACAGTGACACAATTTGTTCTTTCAGTTTCAGCAGAAATTATACAATAATTTAGAACTAGCCAGAAATAATCCAATAACCAGCCAAAAGTAACCCAAATTACTCCACAAAAGGAGGCAGCCATGAAAAATAACACAAATATTTGTCATAACTAGGATCTGATGATGCTGGGTGTATTATTATCATAGATTCAGCTGTGGATAGCGACTGAAGTTAAGAACGCCCAGGGTTCTATAAGTGCTAAGAGACATTTGAATATTTATTTTAGCAAGAAAGGTACATTCGGCCCGAATCGCTTGAGGCTAGAGATGGACGGAGCATTCCTATCCTCGAGCAAGAATAATGCCTACGAATGCAACTGGGAGAAGAATTCTAGACTGCAGCTCTATGGGGAACTTCTTTCAAATGATATGAAATATCTAATTATCTGATTTCCTCAGCTCCATCCCTTTCTGAATGTTAAATAGCCTAATTCACACCAAGATCCCTACCGCAGCCGTGGGAGAATCAGATTTTGAAAAAGATCCTTCTGGGCTATACCTCTCGATCAAGCTCTGCAATCAGGGTAACATTTCCATAGTTTTCATCCACGGCAAAGTATTTTCTTGCTCCGGCCTCAAAGGTCACGCCATAGGTTACCGGATCTCCTTCTGGATCTGTTCCATTTAGTGTATAAACATGCGTACCTACAACAGTAAGAGTTTTTGATTATGATTTTGTTTGCACAGCTTCTCAAAGGTTTTTCAAATCTTTTGGTTAAGAGTTGACATTATTATTGTATTGTTAAGACAGCTATTATGGAAATTATGCTGATCACTAATTTGTAATGTCTGTCACTCTGGAAAGTCAGTTCTGAAGTTCTCCATCTATTCTGGGTTACTTCTGCAGCACTTAATTGACCAGGTGGGTCTTTCTGTGCCATCGAGTCTGATTTGACTCCTGGCCACTCTCTGAAAACATCTCTGCAGGGTTTTTTGGCAAGATTTCAGGAGGGGCTGGCCATTTCCTCCTTCCTAAAGCTGAGAGAGTGTGGCTGGTCCATGACTTCTGGTTGCCAGCATTGGTAGCCACCCGATTGGCTGGCAGCAAACTGTCCCATGCGCCCAAACGCCCGACACGAACTGTACTTCGACGAATGGGCCGCGGCGAAGGGACTGGGACGGAGGGGCTGTGGCCCATGTGCTGGGGTAAAAAGATGGGGGCGGGCCAGCCGAGGAGAAAAGCTGGTGGATAATGCGCGGAGGCGGAACCCCGGAGGAGAAGCAAGCACGGCCAAAGGTAGGAGCCTAAAAGTCCCATTCCGTTTCAGAACCTCATGGGGCAGAAAAATGCTGTAGGAGATAAATCGAGGTATGTACAAAAAATGTAGATCAAGCATGGTAAGAAGCTTTTTAGACTCACTCTGTTTGGCAGTCACAGAGATTAATTGAGCTGTTCAATCATGTAGAGTTGAAGGAAAAAAATACAGTGTGAAATGCAAGGTCTTATCTCCAAGACAAATGATGGACATGGCTCTATAAAATCCTAATCCTAATGTGATGATCCTGATCCTAACCAACTCTGATGATGTTACCTAGTTGGGTAATGAAACGTCTGCAAGAAATCAACCAAGCTCAGAGAGCACCAAGGACCCCTCCTGTCAACCCTCAGCTACAAATATTCTCTTTTATTGATACCCAATCCTCACCTTCAAGCACATTTCCTGACCCCAAGCAGGAAAGAACATTATGGGGTAAAAATGAAGCCAAAGGGAACCTCTCATAACCATGGATTGTCAAACCATAATAATAATAATAATAATAATAATAATAATAATAATAATAATAATAATAATAATAATAATAATAATAATAATAATAATAATAATAATAATAATATAAAAAAAACAGTGTTTTAAGCGTGACTTATAGAAATAAGATTTTTTTTTAAAGAATTGAATTTGTCCAGTTATTGGGAAACGCAAGTACCTTTCAATACTTACACCTGACCAAACCACAAAAATGTACTCCCAAAACATTTTTTTCTGCTACATTCCCCTGAAGTTGTTTTCAGTCTATCCCTAGTTAAAGAATTCAGTCATCCAGAGCTGGGCTGGTGTTAAATTTGTCCTTCCTTCCCGTATTGTGACACCATCCAAGAGTGCATGAATCATTGGGTAATGTTTATATTCCCAAAAGGAGAGGTGATAAAAAAACAAAACAAAATTGGAAATGGCAACAGGGGCAGCACATTTTGTGCTCGTCAGAGGTTTTTGAAAACTTGTTGGTGGCCAGAGAGCCACAGTGGGGAAAGACAGAAGCATAGAATCAAAATCATGTAAAGTATTAGTACCTCTTTATCTTTATCTTTATAAAGCCTTATTTAGATCGCATCTAGAATACTGCATCTAGTTTTGGCCATCATATTACAAAAAAGATGCTGAGACTTTGGAGAAATGGGAAGAGACGGCCATCTAGGATGATTAAAGGCCTGGAGGCTAAAACGTCAGAAGAAATGTTGCAGGAATTGCGTCTGGCTAGTCTAGACAAAAGAAGGACTAGAGTGGACATGATAGCAGTCTTCAAGTATTTGAGAGGTTGGCACAAAGAGGAAGAGGGGGTCAATTTATTTTCCAAAGCACCAGGAAGCAGGACAACCACCAATGGATGGAAACTAACCAAGGAGAGAAGCAACCTGGAACTAAGGAGAAATTTCCTGACAGTGAGGACATTTAACCAGTGGGATGGCTTTCCTCCAGAAGTTGTAGGGGCTTCATCACTGGAGGTTTTTAATAAGAAACTGGACAATCACTGATCTGAAAAGGGATAGGACCTCATGCTTGAGCAGGAGGTTGGACTAGAAGACCTCCAAGTTCTCTTCCAGCTCTATCCTTATTGATTGATTGACCCTAAAATGCAGGGAAATGGAAATATTTTACCTTCACTGCATTGAAGGGGTTTGCTTAGCAATGTGATGAAAACTACTGGAGCCTAGGATAGGTTAATCTGCATGATCTCCTTTAAAAAAAAAAAGAAAATAAGAAAATTGTTCTTCAGTTACAGCGCAATGGAATCCACCGGTTTTGCTGAAGTGACCTCCTGCAGATGATTTGATGCTAGGATGGCTGCATGCAATCAAAATGTTAATAAAACTGGAAAGGTTGATTTCTCTATTTCTATCCTAGATCAGACGGTGTCTGACTGATAATTTTTACACCCTCTCAGCACCGACTTTCCATATCATTAACACTCTGAGAACATTTTCCAGCATGGAATTAACACCAATTAAAATCTATCTTTGGCAACGCTTGCTGAAAAGAAGAGAAAATTAAAAGGAGTCTCCAAGTGAGACTCTTAGAGAAAAATGTTCATGAAAGAGTCTTCACCAATGAAGCAGAGAACTTTTCTCCCTTGTCCATCAATGAAGATTTAATGGTGTAAATTCACCCACATTCCCAATATAGCAAGCTATAAAGGAACCAATAAATGGTAGAAGAAATGCATAAAGTGTTTTTAGAAACCACAAGTCCTTCCATCTTGGGAAAAATGTTGCACCATCTACATCTTTTCCCAGAAGCTACCTGCTAGGCTTCTACGGAAATTCCTAAACTCAAAAAGATTTTTCTCCTACTACGTTAAAGGATATCAAAACTGGGTTGTCAAACCTCATTAGGATGAGATTACTTTTTTAGGAGATGTAGAACATGTATATCTTCCTGCCTTTTTGTTTGGAAAAGACCATTCTATTTTATCTCAAAGGTGCTTTTTCAAAAGGCAACTGGACTTTGTTTTTTCCTTGAAGACATTTTACTTCTCAGCCAAAAAGCTTCTTCAGTTCTGACTGAATGGTGGAGGATGGAAGGATTTATGTTCCTTGCAGTCCTCTGGTCATTAGCTCTCTTTCTGAGAGCCGTTGAGGCCACTTGGAGGTTTATCTGTGCCCTCAGGGTTATCTGAATAGTGCAAATGGAAGTTCCAATCTTCTTGGAACTGTTGAAAGGACGGTATTGTAAACAGGAGATAGGTGGAGTCATATCCCTCCCACTCTGTTGAGAGAGAGAGAGAGAGATGTTTAATCCTAATGTAGATGGCCTCTTTGACCCCTCTTTCAAACCAGAGCTCCGCTCTGTCCAGAATGTGGACATAGAACCGTTCTATCTTCTGGTACCAGATTGACAGCACCTAATGGCTAGGCATGGCTTTGAAGTGCAGATGAAGGTAAAGGCTAGCAAAAGGAATGGAAGCCATTTGATATAACAGTTAAAGGTGTCAGGCTAGAAGCCAGGAGAGTAGAAATTCTAGTCCTACCTTAGGGACAAACCCAACTGGGTATCTTTGGGTCAATCATTCTCTCTCAGCCTCAAGAAGAAGATAAGAACAAGCCACTTCCAAAAAGGTTTCTACAATGTGGTCAGGAAAACCAAATATCCATGGAGGACCCTTTCATTTTTTCATTTTCATTTTATTAAATTTGTATACCGCCCTACTCCCGAAGGACTCAGGGCGGTGAACAGCCATGAAATAAAACATATAAATACAAAATTTAAAATAGAAATAAAACAAGTTAAATAAATTTGGCTGAACCATATTTAAAACCCCAATAATTTAAAACCAAATTTAAAATTCACATTTAAAAGAGGAGAAGTTTAGGTCAGGCCGGCTTGCTGGAATAGGAACGTCTTAAGCGTGCGACGGAAGGTACGCAGATCCGGAATCCTCCATATCTCGGGGGGGAGCTCGTTCCAGATAGTAGGTGCCCCCACAGAGAAGGCTCTCCCCCTGGGGGCTGCCAGTCAACATTGTTTGGCCGACGGCACCCGGAGGAGCCCCTCTCTATGGGAGCGTACTGGTCGGTGGGAGGCTATTGGTGGTAGCAGGCGGTCCCGTAGATAACCAGGTCCTAAGCCATGGAGCGCTCTAAAGGTGATGACCAAAACCTTGAAGCGCACTCGGAAGACCACCGGGAGCCAGTGCAGCTCGCGCAGGAAAGGCGTTACATGGGAGCGCCACGTCGCTCCCATCACCACCCGCGCGGCCGCACTCTGCGCCAGTTGGAGCCTCCGAGTGCTCCTCAAGGGGAGCCCCATGTAGAGAGTGTTACAATAGTCCAGACGGGAGGTGACGAGGGCATGAGTGACCGTGCGTAACGAGTCCCGATCCAGAAAGGGACGCAACTGGCGGATCAGGCGAACCTGATGAAAAATCCTCCCAGTCACGGCCGTCAAGTGCTCTTCTAAAGACAGCCGTGAATCCAGGAGGACACCCAAGTTGCGAGCCCTCTCCGTGGGGGCCAATGCTTCGCCCCCAATAGTCAGCGATGGCACCAGCTGACTATATCGGGACGTCGGAAACCACAGCCACTCGGTCTTGGATGGGTTGAGTCTGAGCCTGTTTCTCCCCATCCAGATCCGTACGGCCTCCAGGCACCGGGACATCACTTCAAGGGCATCGTTGGGGTGGTCTGGGGTGGAGATGTACAGCTGGGTGTCGTCAGCGTACTGATGGTACTCCACCCCGAAACCACGGATGATCTCGCCCAACGGCTTCACATAAATGTTGAACAAAAGGGGCGAGAGGACCGATCCTTGTGGCACCCCACATATAAGGGGCCTCGGGGTCGACCTCTGCCCCCCTGTCAACACAGACTGTGACCGGTCGGAGAGAAAGGAGGAGAACCACCATAATACGGTGCCTCCCACCCCCAACCCTTCCAACCGGTGCAGCATGATACCATGGTCGATGGTATCAAAAGCCGCTGAGAGATCTAATAGGACCAGGATAGAGGAACAACCTCTGTCCCGAGCCCTCCAGAGATCATCCACCAATGCGACCAATGCCGTTTCCGTGCTGTACCTAGGCCTGAAGCCCGACTGGAACGGATCTAGATACGTCGTTTCATCCAGGTACCGGGGAAACTGTCGTGCCACCACACTCTCAACAACCTTCGCAACAAAGCGAAGGTTGGAGACTGGACGATAATTAGCCAATATTGCCGGGTCCAGGGAAGGCTTCTTGAGGAGAGGTCTCACCACCGCCTCTTTCAAGGTGGCGGGAAAGACACCCTCACTCAATGAAGCATTTATAATCCCCTGGAGCCAGCCTCGCGTCACCTCCCGGGAAGCCAGCACTAACCAGGAGGGGCACGGGTCCAACAAACATGTGGTCGCATTCAGTCTACCCAGAATCCTGTCCACGTCCTCAGGGGTCACAGAGTCAAACTCATCCCAGATAACATTCTCAGGACCTGCCTCCGTCATCCCCACTGGATCTACCCAGTCAGAGTCCAGATCTTCCCGAATCTGAGTGATTTTGTCATACAGATACTGAACAAAGTCCTCGGCTCTTCCCTCCAAGGGGTCCTCCCTCGCTTCCTGGTGGAGCAGGGAGAGGGTCACCCTAAACAGGGCGGCCGGGCGGTTATCTGATGACGCAATAAGAGCAGCAAGATGAGTACATTTCGCTGCTTTTATCGCCACTAGGTAATTCTTAATATGAGATCTTACCAGTGTCTGGTCAGATTCAGTGCGACTGGCCCTCCAAATACTCTCTAGGCATCTTTTCCAGCGCTTCATCTCCCTCAGCTCCTCAGTAAACCAAGGAGCCAGGTGAGATCGGCGCCGGGTCAGAGGCCACAAAGGCACGACTCGATCCAGAGCTCCAGCGGCCGCCCTATCCCAGATGGCCACTAAGTCTCCAGTCGAGGCGTGAGCCAGGACCTCAGACATTGGCCCAAGCTCCGTCTGGAACCTATTGGATTTGAGCTTGACTTGAAGAAGACTTACCACTGCAAGAAAATCCTTTGCTCTTTGTTCCAGAGTCAACTGCATGTCTATGGCAGAAATCACTGCACTCTCTGTCAATTTACACCTGTATGAAATTACACTTCAATAAAGCAATTTGGACTTTGGACTGAAGAAACTTTTTGGATGAGAAGCAAAATGTTTTCAAAGAAGAAACACACACAAGAAAGTCCAGTTGCCTTTGGGACAACTGTGATGTGGGTGATTGAAAATCTCTATAGACGTTTGGACCCCGATTTACTTTGTCAACATGAAGAGTTGCATCAAACTCACTGTGACAAAGCCACGTGGATGCCTCAAATTCCTATGGACCAATGTTGGGAGACATCACGAGAGCAAACTGACTCCGCTGAAGGCATCCACTTGCATGTTCTTCATGCTAAAGGATTCTAGGCTGAGGGATCTCTAGGCTGGGAAATTTTTATGATTTCTCAGCCTGGAAGCACATTCGCTAATCCTGTTGGAAAATGATATTTCCCACTTTTTTCCTTGCAGCACTCCCTAAAAAAGTTCTCTTATTCCTTTCCCACACTTGACCTCCTGATAATAGGTGGTCACTGAGAGAGAGAAGAAAATGTTCTCCTCCATCTGTGTCCTCTAAATGCGGACAGTGGAGAATAATTAGAAGAACTCAGGGGCATGGAAGAAGCTTTTCCATAAAACTGGCTAGCCTCAACTGAGTGAGCTGTCCAGAAGTGTCTACACTTCATAGCTGGACCCTCCAAGCCCGGGAGATGCCTTCTGGATGGGAAGAAAAGTGATTGCTTTGCTCTAAAAAGCCAAGAAACAGCTGGTGCTTCATGGAGTACATTTGAAAAAAATGCTTTGCTTGAAGCTTTTTTATCTAAATGAAGCCTTCCTCCGAAACTTCACACAGCCCTAATATTTAGCAAAAAACTTAAATTTTCCTCTAATATATCAATCCAGAAGAAATACAGAAAGGCTGGGTTCATGTATGAGGTTCAGATGATAAGTCTGGTTGGGTTTTAGCACTGCATCTGAAGTCAGCTGTTCCGATATGAAAACTGAAAAAGAGTTCTAAATAATATATCCAGATCAGGATGGGTTGTTCCACAAAACAGTGTGTGAATCCCCGCAATAACTTTACCCAGAAATCACAAACCTATCAATGACTGCATTGAAAGATAATGTAAACTGGTAATATTGGGTAGAGGCAAAACGATAGGCTACCTAAATTGGCTGAAGATCAAGGGATCTTCAGCATAGAAGACAAGAGGATCAATAACTCTATGGATCTTCTCTAGATTGGCACTAAATCTCTTGGGAGATATAGGCTATGAATTCTGGAAGCTGTTAGCAACCCAGTGTGGGGTAGATGTTAAAGTATTGGAGTAGGACCAGGAAGTTATGTCTTCAGTCCAGCCTGGGAACCTCTGGTGTGAATTTCAATCCAGTCTAACTCAGAAACGTTGTTGTGGGGATAAAATGAAGGAAAATCTTCATATGAGTGAGTTCCCAAAGGACAGTCAGGATGAATCAATAAAATAGCATCAACTACCCAGAGGATCCCAACTTGGGAAGGATGCCATTACAGTCCCAACAAATACGGTGCAGAAACAAAACCTCAACATTTCTGTTTTTAAACACACAGAGAGACACAAGATCACAACACTGACCCACAGCTGTATCTTCCGAGAGGCTGAAGAGGGCCATATTCCCATTATTGCTGTTGGCTCCATTGTCAAAGAAATAGGGTGCGTAATTTGCCTGAACTGTAAGTTAAGAGAAAACAGAATTCAAGGGAGAAACATTCAATAAGTGGGAAGTTATCTTTTCTTTTATGTACACCGAGAGCGTATGCACCAAAGACAAATTCCTTTTGTGTCCAATCACAGTTGGCCAATAAAGAATTCTATTCTATTCTGTTCTGTTCTGTTCTGTTCTGTTTCATCTGTGCACAAAGCCCAATTCAACCCCACAGGTCTAATTCACCTAATTCGTATCTGAGAAAACTCTGAACATCTCAAAAGACTACTTGCACTATTGCTGTTAACAATACAAATTGCTATAAATCTGACAATGTTTTAAATTCAAACAGAATTTGATTTAGGCACAGGAAAGGAAATAAGGGAGACCTAATCTATCCCCCCAAAATGTTTGCTAATCAAAATTCATCAAATCCCCCTGAACTGAACAAGGGTCCCATATTCCATTCAACCTCCAAGCAATTCCTAAGCGATTTAAACAATGCCTCCTGAATTTTTAAAGGGACGCTTACCCCCAAATCTTTAAGAAAACAATTACTTACTTGCTACAAGAGAAGAGCAAACCCGAGGGGGGGGGGGAGAAAAAAGAGGAAAAACCCATTAGATATCATTCCATCCTTAATTTATTTATTATTATTATTTTTAAATAGCCCATTTGAGGTTCATCAACAGCCAAAAGGTAGAACAGAAAAGATGGAAATGAGCTAATCATCTTGCTGTTTATGCCATTCTTGAGTTGAAAGTCGCAATTAGCAGGAAGACCCCCGAATCTTAAACCTTTGCCCCAGTTCCAACCGGCGTAGTTTTGAAAGATTTGGCTCTACTTACCCAGGCAAACGTGCACCAGATTGAGGAATAAGGAGGTTGGCAAATGCCGTTCTCGCTTCATCCCCCCCCAAAGAGAGGATCCGTTTCTCCTTAATTTTGGGGAAGGGGGGCAGGCGAAATACCCTTCCAAGTCCCTGCTGGAAACCTTCTTCAGAAGTTGGGGGGATGAGGAATCTGGCAGAGTGGCAGGAATAGTTGCTAAGATGTTAAGCGGATGACCTGACTTAATTTTGGAGGCATTGAAAGGCGTTCCTGCCTTCCACTTAATTAGTCCAATTATTCTGCCAGCAATGGGAGATTTATTTGCAAGCATTCAGCCTCTCTCTACCTGGGAACAACGTCTGCTTAGCAGCCTGCCTGCAATTGTCCAAAGAAACCCCTCCAGATCCAAAAGGCAAGTTGGTTTATCTTTCACTTATCTGTTTTTTTCCTGGTGCTTTCGTTTTTCTTATTCCCAACGCCGCCCACACCCCTTCTAAATAAATAAATAAAATATTAACAACTCCCAGGGTGTTCTGCATTTTTTTCCCCCTCACCAAAACACCTAAGGAGTCATTTCTCAGGACTAAATGAATTTCATCTTGATATTCTTAAATTAGCATCCGTACATAATATTTTGCTTTCCAGGATCAGGAAATTAATACATTGAACGTGGAATAAAGGCAGCCAATTCAGGACTGATCGAGAGGCTCAATATTTAGAATTATTTTGTTAATAAGGAAATCCCTTTTTTTTAACTTAAATCCTTCATTGAAAAGACAACAAAGCATTCTATTAGCACAGAGAGCTGTAAGAACACAAATCAAAATTTATCTCTTCAATGATGATTTAAGCAAGGCTTTTATTCCTAAATTCATTTTTGGCTTTCTAATTTTTTTTTAAAGAAGTGGATATTTTTGGAATCAGTCATGATTGAGATAAATCCATGTTCTAAAATGGGGAATTCATCAAGTCATGAAGTCAACTCATTCTGGAATTCATAGTTTGGAGAGAAAACATCTTCACAGATGACACGGTCCCCCATCAGCAATTGTTGAAAAGACAGGTCTAAAATCGTAATATAAAATAAGAAATTCAGAGCAGATGTTGTCCCTTAGCCCACTGTTCAACTTCTATCTCCTTGTGCATTTACAATAATATTGTCAGGTATGAAAGATTAGTGTTCCTGGTTTTTTAAAATTTAAATACCTCTTCTGGGTTGGACTGGATAAGAACCTTCCGTGATGCCTGCTAATCCTTCTCAGAAGCCCAGAGCCATCTGTCCACCTCGCCAAAGTGTAAATAGAGAAATTAGGTCCTTCTGTGCCGAGAGGAATCCCTGAGTGACAAGAGGCAGACCTCTTGACTTTGGGGCTGCAAGAGATTGATGCAGAATCGAGTGGGGCTGTGGTGGGCCCAGGGCAGGGGAAGGGAGGGTTTCTTAGAAAGCTTTGACAATTGAATTTAATAGTGGAAACAGATGCTGAGGAATTAAAGCCCCTCAGGTGGCTTCTTCAGATTGACTTGGATGTACACATATACCCTGTTCTTGATAGAAGGTTCATTTTGAACCACCTCAATTTATTATGTTGAATCAGAGATGCAAATTGGATCACACCTTAACAGAATAACCAAGTTGGAAGGGACCTTGGGCCGGAGACCCTATACCATTTCAGACAGATGGTCTCTTCTTAAAAATCTCCAACGTTGGAGCATCTACAACTTCTAGAAGGAAGTCGTTCCATTGATTAATTGTTCGCAGTGTCAGAAAATTTCTGTTTTATAGTTCTAGGTTGCTTCTCTCCTTGGTTAGTTTCTACCCATTGCTTCTTGTTCTGCCCTCAGGTGCTTTGGAGAATAGCTTGACCACCTCTTCTTTGTGGCATCTCCTCAAATATTGGAACACTGCTATCATGTCACCCCTAGTCCTTCTTTTCACTAAACTTAGACCTATCCAATTCCAAAGTCCCAAAGCACTCCTCCTCCTACTCTTCCTCCCCCTCCTCCTCCTCCCCCTCCTCCTCCCATCAGATCAGAAAACAAGAGTGGGCTTAACAAAATTGTGACTGATCCAAACCAGAAACTTCCAGAGAAAAAGACTAATAGAGAAGGTTGAATCTTTTTTTCCAATTATGTACTTGTGATCACTCTGAGGAATTCTGGAAGAAAGAAAATTTCACTCAAAAAGGATGCAACGACCTGAAGTACATGAAGTGCAAGGGTCGGTCCTCTCGCCCCTTCTGTTCAACATTTATGTGAAGCCACTGAGTGAGATCATCCGTGGTTTTGGGGCGAGAGTCCATCAGTATGCTGATGACACCCAGCTGTACATCTCCACCCCAGACCACCCCAACGATGCCCTTGATGTGATGTCTCGCTGCCTGGAGGCCATGCGGGTCTGGATGGGGAGAAACAAGCTCAGACTCAACCCCTCCAAGACTGAGTGGCTGTGGCTCCCGGCGTCCCGGTATAGTCAGCTGGTGCCATCGCTGACTATTGGGGGTGAATCTCTGCCCCCCACAGAGAGGGCTCGCAACTGGGTGTCCTCCTGGATGCATGGCTGTCTTTAGAAGAGCATATGACGGCCGTGGCCAGGGGGGCTTTTTATCAGGTTCGCCTGATCTGCCAGTTGCAGCCCTTTCTGGACTGGGACGCCTTGCGCATGGTCACTCACGCCCTCGTCACCTCCCGTCTGGAGTATTGTAACGCTCTCTACATGGGGCTCCCCTTGAAGAGCACTCGGAGGCTCCAACTGGTCCAGAATGCGGCCGCGCGGGTGGTTATGGGTGCAACCCTTTGTGCCCACGTGACACCCCTCCTGCGCAAGCTGCACTTGCTCCCAGTGGTCTTCCAGGTGCAATTCAAGGTGTTGGTCACCACCTTTAAAGCGCTCCATGGCATAGGACCAGGATATTTACAGGACCGCCTTCTGCCACCAATAGCCTCCCACTGACCAGTCCGCTCCCACAGAGAGGGTCTCCTCAGGGTACCGTCGGCCAAGTTATGTTGGCCAAGTTAAAACCCAGGAGGAGAGCCTTCTCTGTCGGAGCTCCTGCCCTTTGGAGTGAATTGCCCCCGGATATTCGTAACATCTCTGACCTCCGGGTCTTTCGCTGTGCCCTCAAGACCCTACTGTTCCGACAGGCGGGGCTGTCTAACTGAATGATTTTAAATTGGGTTTTAATTTTTGGGTTTTAAAATTTGGCCAAAACTATTTAATGATTTTAACTAATTTTAACTATGATATTGTATATTTATGTTTTTAATCTTGGCTGTACACTGCCCCGAGTCCTTCGGGAGAAGGGCGGTATATAAATAAAATTATTATTATTATTATTATTATTATTATTATTATTATTATTATTATAGGAAGAGCTATTGCTTTTAACACTTGCCAGAACTCAGAGTTCATTCTTCTTTTAAATAATGCTGTTGAAAAATTCTGATGAGGACCTACAAAAAGATAGAAGATGAGAGAGCATGATGTAAGGTGGCACTGTTCTGAGATGCTTAAATCTCTGAAGGACTATTAGTATTAGGTTTAGTGTCAAATATAGTTGATTACTCAAGAAAACTCTTGTGCAATAGTTATGTCCCTTTTTTTAGTATTTAAAAAGAGGATTGCCTAGCTGGTAATACTTCTCCATGCATGTAGGTGTTTCTCTCTCTCTCTCTCTCTCTCTCTCTCCCTCCCTCCCTAGGTACCATCTATCTATATTCTAGGTTGTATATGTGTCCTAGAAAATTTCCAGCTGATATATATACAATATATATGTGTGTGTGTGTTTGTGTGTATATACAGTAGAGCTGTAGTAGCGCAGTGGTTCGAATGCAGTGCTGCAGGCTACTTCTGCTGCCAGCTGCCTGCAATTTGGCAGTTTGATTCTCATCAGCAAAAGTTGACTCAGCCTTCCATCCTTCCAATGTGGATAAAATGAGGACCCAGATTGTTGGGGGCAAGAGGCTGACTCTGTAAACCACTTAGAGAGGGCTGTAAAAGCACTATGAAGTGGTATATAAGTCTAAGTGCTATTGCTATACATGTATATACAGTATGTACACACACACACACAAAAATAGTGCAAGAAATGTGCAAATTAACATTATGATAGTAGGTAGAATTTGGCTAGTTCTAAGTTGGGAACCTTTTATGATGCTGATCTATGCTTTGAACGTTGAATGTCTTTCTGCCAATGATTCTTAGTCCAGTTTAAACTTCCCCCATTACTCACAGGAGCCCACATCAAAGGGGTGGGGGAGGGAGGAGGAGCATTGAAGGCAGGGCTGATCCTGAGAAATCAACTTTGCGTCTTCCCCCCCCCCCCCAAAGGGAAACTGGGTTCAAGGCTTCCAAGTTAAAGAAGTCTCAGGTAGCTCATCTTGGAGTCAGAGATGCACCAGGTAGTCCTAAACTTACAACCATTCGTTTAGTGACCATCCAAAGTTATGACAGGGCTGAAACAAGGAACTTACGATCAGTTATTGCAGATACCGTATTTTTTGGAGTATAAGACGCACCTTCCCCACCCCCTAAAAGAGGGCTGAAAATTTGGGTGCGTCTTATACTCCAAATGTAGCTTTTTCGAAGCTTTTCTTCAGCCCTAACAAGGTGCTAACGAGGCACAAGCGATCTTCCCAGATTTACCTGCTCCCTTGACTCTGTGCTTTAACGAGGCTATCTCTCCCCATGCTTTGCCTGCTTTTCTCATTGCTGCTTCCTCTCAGCTGTGCCTTAGAAGCTGTTTTTTATCCCCAAGCAGGGGATAAAAAACCAGCAAACGAATGTGGTGAAGCTGACCAGACTAAGGACGCTAGCCAAATGAATACCTGGTAGGCAGATTTTTTTCCTATTTTCCTCCCCAAAAACTAAGCTGCGTCTTATACTCCGGTGCATCTTATACTCCAAAAAATATGGTATTTGATGACGATCGTCACATCACCCCAGGGGTCACATGATCAAAATCTGTGAGCTTGGCAACCAGTTTATATTTAGGAGGTTTGCAGTATCTGTCTCTTGACACGGTTTTCCACAAAGTGACACCCTTCAGAAGGACCAAACTCTTGGCAGAAACCAAAAATCATGACAGACCAGAATAATGACAACAACAACAGATTGGTTTTCATACATGCAAATACTTTCCAGATATCGAGAAGACTTTAAACAAGAAAGTATTTATAGTGTTTCGACTGTTTTAGACAAGATATTAATGGGTTCAGATGGCCATATAATTAAAAAGCTATATGGATATTTACTTGAAGCAAAACTGGAAGAAGAACAAGTTAAAGAATCAATGATAGCATGGGGAAAAATTTTTGGTTATAGTATTGATTTAGAGAAATGGCAAAAACTGTGGTCACATAATTATAAAATGACAATGTCAACAGCATATAAAGAGAATTTGTATA